ATTTTAAAAAACCACATGTTTTACAGACACTTCATATTAAATGGTATTTTATGGTTTTTATTGCATTTAATGTATTATGCTTTCAATAAAACATTTGCAATGGGTTTTTAAAAGCTGTTTTTATCCATTTTTAGCCTGAGTTTTTGTTGCATTTACACACTTTTGACCAGCAGGAGTCACCAGCGCTGCACAACACTGCCCTCTTGTGTCAATTTCTATGTACAAAAAGTAACCCCAGACACACACACACACACATATATTATATATATATATTGTATATACTCGCCATTCTAGACTTAGAGGTAATTTACAGATTGGTTTGCCCTTTCCTCCTTTTTTGTCTACAGGAAACGTTATCTGACCTGTGTGTGTTGGCGTTGAATGGATATTCACTATTACATTCCTAAACAGCCTTGCAAAAAAATCCTCATTAGCAAAACCAGTCAATATTCCCTCTCAGCTCATTTTCTCACCTTTCTCACGATCTCGGGAAATCCTTTCTCTCCCACATGTTTCAACAGATTAACCCACAAACTGTTCCATCAGGCCCAGATCAGCGCTGTTTTCTCATGTGTGACAGTGGAAGGTCAGAGTAATACTGTAATAGGTTCCAGAGCAGTGAAAAAGAGCTAATGAGAAAGACAGAACTGTGAAGAGGTGAGTTGACCGTGTTCATTTCACTTAGGGTCTGTGTGGATATTTATGAAAGCTTCAGAGATAAATTTCTTCCCAAAGGTTGCAGAACCATCAAATACCATTAGGATCAGAGGCTGAATATTTAAATACACAGATAAACTGTGTAATCTCTGTATCCAACAGGTAAAACAAAAGAGAATATGTAACAAGTTTGAATATGTTTACAAGTTTTGTTGTTGTTACAGAGTTCCCTTCCTCTCAGAGCTTTTACTAGCCTTGAAGGCTAGCAAATACCCCTCCATCACATCCAGTAAATACAGATGACCTTAAGAACTTCAACTCCCAGCAGCCCTTGCCCTGCAGAGATGAGAGAGAGGTCACTTCTAGGGTCTCATCCAGTGGGATCTTACAATTACTACTGCTCATGTTTTTATGCCATCCAAAACATAACAGCCTTGAGCTCATTAACCTAAAAACAGATGCTCAACTCTTTCATTGCCTTATTTCCCAGAAAGCTTTACCCACTGGCAGTGAAGATAGCCTGTCTCAGGTCATAGTGTTGAAGGACTCCGATAGACAGCAGACAGATTATAACCGGCAGATAAAAAACAAAAATACAAATATACAGTGATCACACCGAAAGAAAAAGACAGAAGACGTAATGCTTACTCTTTATTTATTTGCCCATAAATACTGTTTAGGTTTATGGAACACTGCTTTGAGTCTGTTTTATTGTCACTATTACGGTTTCAAGACCAAACCAATTGACTCCAAATGACACTGGCTCTAATGGTCTACAGAGCAAGATCTGATTAAACTTTAAGACCAAGATAAAACTGTAAATCTGTCCATTTTTTTAAAATCCTGATGAATTGCATACTAAAGATTTTTATTATACATGTAAGAATTCACCAAGACATCAACAAGTATTTATCAATTGTTGATGCCAATACAGAAGTTTGGTCTATATTTCAATCAGAATGGCTTGAGGTTGCGGTCCAACTTGAGCTAAATAATCCCAGCTAAAGTTAGTATTTTTTATATATATTTTCTAACATTTTAAGATGGTTACCCTGTAACCTGTACTTTTAGTTATTAGGTTTGCCACCTTTATCAGATTTAAAATGGTTTGGTTTTGCATCAGTAATATCTGTTGTGTGTATCATGGCATGACTGACAGAAGAAACTTCAAATACTTTTCTAACAAAAGGAAAAAAAATATTTTGCTCATCTTTTGGTCTGGGAGGGAACAAACTATAAATAAAGTAAAATGTTCTCAAAGAACACTAACTTTCCCATACGGAGAATTCAGATATAAGTAGTACAATTAAAACACTAATTAACAGACCAATACTAAACTATCAATCTATTTTTTTTTTTTGACATCAGTTCATTTCAAAACAATCCAACACTGTAAACATTTTTCTTTGAAAAAAACAAATATATATATATATATATTGCATTTTGTAAATGTTCAAAATATTTAACAGTGATAAGATCAAGCCAATGACACTGTAATAGCATTTATCTGGAATGAATTTTTCAAGTATTCTCATTTGGATTGATTTCCATGTCTCCATAATAAATCAGAAAAACAGCAACCATCAAATCAAAAATAATTGTATTCTAATCAAAGTACCATTTAACCATTATACTGACATTAACAACAAAAACTTAACTAGCTCAACTGGAAAATCCACCAGACCAGTAGATAATTTAATAAAAATAATAATTTTTTAAAAAGGCTCTAGAAAACCAGCCAAGCAGCAGAGCAAAATTTAACACTGTTACTAATCAGATTTTACACCTGTAATCCACTCTAACTGAATACTGAGCACATAAAGCTACATCTGGTTTAAAGAATAACACTCTGGCGCTGAAAATCATCACAATACTATTCCAGGCCTGTATACTGCAATATGTAAAGGCACGTGTACATGCACACATTTGTCCACACAGAGCCCTGAGCCTCATGTGGGCTAATCGCTTTAGATGTGCAAGATCATATGTCATCATTAGCCTAAAACACACTGTAATACAGTTAGCTAGCAGGCTTACACACTCCAGAGATAGAATCATCACTCTCAATCACCACACACACACATCCATTTACTCTCAAACAAAACTCCTGTTTGTTTGCTGTGAGTTTAAATGGTGTTTAAGTTACTTCGTGCATATGAGCTCAGAACAGACACCTATGAAAAAGCAAGAATGTGGGATCTTTGTTCTTGTTTAGCTGTAGTTCTCCATCCTCTGTAGTGTGTAAAGTTCACTATCTTTCTTCTCATCTTGTAAACATAAGCACGAACACTAGAGGTAATGAGATGGAGGTTGCATGTGTGTGTTTTGGGGTCAGAATAAGCAGCAGGGTAAGTGTTAGTGTCCACTGGTGCTCCCAAAGGCACTCTGGATTCAGAAGCCATCATCATCTACTTCATAGCCGTAATCTGTAGGAAGGAAAGAAGAGGAATGCAGAAAGGTTAGGACAAAACTTAATGCTCTTTTCTGAACTACATACAGTCATGGCCAAAAGTTTTGGCAGTGACATAAATTTTGTGTTTTGCAAAGTGTGCTGCTTAAGCTGTTGTGGTGTTCATTCACACTGTTTCTAGATTATTGTGTAGAGTGATCAGATGCATTTTAAATAATTGCTAAAAGCTTCATTGGCCAAAAAAGGAACTTTTTACAAAAAACAAATTTCACCGTTTTTTGATCCTGACAAAATGTCAGCTAACATTAATTGACTAATCATATCAGCAGCACATGTGAAAGTGTGAATGAGTACTAGTCAGGTGAAATCACTAGCATACTAATTAGTAGGGATGTAACGATTAACTGCGAGCCAGTTGAAAATCGATTCAAATATGTGACGATTCAAATCGGTTGAGATGCTAAACAAATCGCGATTAATTTAGGTGTCACCAGCAGTGCAGAGCTTGCTCAGGAATGGCAGCAGGTTGGTGTGAGAGCATCTGCACGCACAGTGAGGCCAAGACTTTTGGACAACGGCCTGGTGTCAAGAAGGGCAGCAAAGAAGCCACTTCTCGCCAAGAAAAACGTCAAGGACAGATTAAAATTGTGCAGGAAGTACAAGGATTGGACAGCAGAAGACTGGTGCAAAGTTATTTTCTCTGATGAAGCTCCCGACCGACTGTTTGGGACATCTGGAAAATTGATTGTTCGTAGAAGAAAAGGTGAACGCTACCATGAGTCCTGTGACGTGCCAACAGTGAAGCATCCTGAGACCATCCATGTGTGGGGTTGGGCAACACCCCGGATCTCAATCCCATAGAGAACCTGTGGTCAGTCCTCAAAAGGTGTGTGGACGAGCAGAAGCCCACAAATTGTGATCAACTCGGAGAACTAATAAGGCAAGAATGGATCGCCATCAGTCAGGTTTTGGCCCAGAAGCTAATATCATCCAGCATGCCAGAGCGAATTGCAGAGGTTATGAAGAACAAGGGTCAACACTGTAAATATTGACTCATTATATATTTTTTGCCAATAAAAGCCTTTAAAACTTATGATATGCTTATCATTGTTTTTCAGTATACCATAGAAACACATGGAAAAATAATCTACAAATACTGAAGCAGCAAACTTTGCTAAACACAACATTTATGTCACTGCCAAAGTTTTTGGCCATGACTGTACACTCACACAAAGAGCATAAAATGTTTTTGTCAAAATAAGCCATAGTTTTCATCCAGGAGGCTGTAAGGATTATGTATATACCTATATATATAGGATAATGTGTGTGTGTGTGTATATATATTTATACAACAGTTCTTGCAATATAACAAAGAGTGAAAAATTTAAGGGGGTCTGAATACTTTCCGTACCCACTGTATATATACACACACACACACACACACACACACACGTTATTGAGTAAACATTTATCGACATTAATATGAAGTGTACTTGAGAAAATATAACTTTTTTTATATTGAGAGACAATGAAAACTGAGAATATAAAAACAATTGGCAATTTAAAATATTACTAAATACTACACTAATGTATAAATACCACTGGTCTAAAATGAATACATCTCTATTATAAATTAAAAATGTATCCTAAAGTTGAAGGACAGACTTTATTGCATCACATACCAGTGCCGCCCATTAACTGCATGGCACTAACACAGTGTTCGTCCTCCTCATCCTCCTCTTCTTCATCTGCAGGGTCTTCGTACGCCACCGGTCCGCTCTCCACAACAACAGCATTCTGGGATGGGGCAGCAGGAGTGGCCACTGGGGCGCCAAGCCCTTTCTGATGGTAGAGAAGGAAGGAGAAAGTCAACATGAAATAGCATTCCCAGCTCATTCCACCCAGCTAGAGTGGAATTGATTGATTGGATAGTGAAAAGATTGGTTGGGAGGGGTTGAAAAATAAGAATTTGTGAGGTCAGTCAAAAAAGAGGTCAATCAAAAAGTCTTTTTAGAGGCAGAGCAATTACAGAGTAATTTCTTACAGAGGCTGTTTATTATCGTGAAGCTTCTTTGAAAAAATCTGTACTGTATAAAAGTACACATTTTCATAAGTTAAAATGGCTTGACTCTAAGTGATTGAACAATTATGAATATGTTTCCCTTTTTAGCATCAATAAATTGTGATTTGGTGACTTGAACACTCACAAAACACCCTTTACCAAGTCTGACTGTGTGCTCCTATTATCATGCTCCTACAAATGAGGATAACACCTACCATTACAAGTCAGCTTCAGATTTAGCAACAGTTAACCTTGTTCGTGAATTTATAAATGGTTTACTTTCCTGAGGGACAAAGGGAATACCATTAATCACAAAGCTTCATTTCCCATTGCCAAGTGATGGCAAGAGGTTGTCTAGTTACCCGAGTATTGACCCCTGGAGGTAGTATTTTTGGCCTTGGGTTCAAAAGAGCGTTGATTATGTATTCTCACACACACACACACACACACACACAAGTTTAAAAGTAGTAGAAGAAAAACCAGAGACCAAGATAAGACAGACAGACTGACTTAATAACAGAGAAAAACAAGACAGAGGAGAAAAGATCAAGGACTCTGACATACAGAAAGATGAAGCATCATGGAAGACACAGCCGGAGGGAGTGACAGAGCCACTCAAGAGCTCCAGCGGTCTATGGGCCAGAACGACAGCAAGGGATCAGTAGGATTCGAGAGAAAAGAGCATGTGTCATCAAAACCTCCTCAGAGTCCAAGATGTCAGTGACCCACTTTCCGTTGCAGCCACCTCAAACTGGCGCCTTTGAGTATCGGCTCAGAGTTAGACTGCTGATCTAGAAGCAGCTCGGTGGATGAAAATAATTCTCTTAATTTAGACATGAAAAGGAAAAACCTGTTTCTAGGTCAACTTAATGCCGTTTTCCTGCACCAGAGATAAACTAAGTGAAGCTCTGGGCCAGAGGGCCATTTGAGGGTTAAGGAAAAGTGGTTTAATATATCCAGAGACCTGCCAAGGATGTGCAAGTAGGAAGGACGGTGATTTAAATTCACTCACCTGATCGAGGGCCAGCTTCTTAGAGGGCTGTGCACACACCAGGGGCTGTAACCTTGGAGACAGCAAGACAGAGAGAGAGAGAGACAGGGAAAAGACATATAGACAAAATCATTAAGAGAACATGGCTTATTTTTCAAAAGCAGCTCTGGGATTTTTAAAAATCTGAATCTTAATATAAAGTTGACAGAAACACAAGGTCAAAACAAAAATTACGTACTATCCAGTCCTATAAACTCCAATAAATTTACCTCAGATCTGTTCTTTTCAATTCACTACACTGCTTAAATCACTGACTTATTATAATGCAAATCTTGACACATTATTTAAATTAATTCCTTAAATGTATGTAATTTAAATTCTATCAACCCAGAAAAGCATCGGTTTACAGACCCACAGAGACTCTAAATACCCCTGCTTCACAATGAAATGTCACTCTGTATATTTAGTAAAAATGTATTCACCAAAATGCATGAATAACAACAACATTTGTGAATCTAGCACATTTTCATAGATGGTGGCAGACATGGACAAGTCCTGTCTTGAATTACAGTTTATCTCAAATCTCTCACTGTAAAATTCCCAGTGGAATAAACATGGCAGCTCGAGTGACAACAGGAGGGGGAGATCGAGAGACAGACAGAAAGAGGGGGCAGGACAAGCACAGAAGAATCCAGAGACGCAGTTACGATCTCAGTATTTGCAAGTCAACGTGCAGTGGCACAGTTCGAATAATGAGTTTACTCATTATTCCAACGAATGTATGATATGTTAATGAGGTATGGATATGATGCACTAAACCTGCAGCATAAATAAACGCTAATCAGAATCATATGATTCTCCTAATAATACATCTGAATATGCAGAAGAGATTTAGCTCTCGTGGGAACAGTTCTCTTTACATAACCACAAGCCGTCTCGAATCTACTAAAACGCACATAATGAACTCAACTCAAACATCTCTCTAACAGACAGACAGATAGATGAAGAGAATTATAGAAAGATGGAAAGAATGACAAAAAGAAGGACAGAAAGGATAGAATGACAGCGAGAAGGATAGAAAGATGGATAGAATGACAGAAATAAGGATAGAAAGAAGGATAAAAATGGATTGAACAATAGGAAAGGAAACAAAGAAAGATGGATAGGATGACAAAAAGAAGGACAGAAAGATGGATAGTACGATAGAAAGGACAGAAAGATGATATATTGATAGAAAGAAGGATAAAAATAGATTGAACAATAGGAAAGGAAAGGAAACAAATGAAGAAAGAAGGATATAAAGAAGAATAGAACGATAAAAAGAAGGATAGAAAGATGGATATAGGAGGACAGAAAGATGGACAGAATGATAGAAAGAAGGATATAACAAAAGATGGATAAAATGAAAAAGAAAGAAAGAAAGAAAGAATTATAGAAAGAAGGATGGAACGAAAGGGTCGAATGATAGAAAGAAGGATATAAAAATGAATAGGATGATAGAATGATAGAAAGAAGGATGAAAAGATGGACAGAACGATAGAAAGATGGATAGAAAGAAAGAAGGATAAAATGATAGATGAATAGAACAATGAAAAGATAAAAAGATGGATAGAAATATAAAACAATATATAGATCGATAGAAGGATAGAGCGATAGATAGAACATTAAACAATGATAAATAAAATCATTGATAGAACGATAAATAGAACGATAGAATGACGGATAGAACGATAGATAAATAGATGGATAGATTCCTTCAGACTCTCAGTCAGTAAGACAGGCATGCATGGATGACAGTCCTTCATAGCCCAGCATGCGAGTGTCCTATTGATGCTACAGTGCATTCTGGGATGGGGAGTGGTGCGCTATTTGGCATGAAAACAAGCAGTCAGAGCCAAAACACAGTGACAACATTCTATTCCTGAGAAACAGTCTGTTCCACACACACACACACACAAATTCACATGTGTGTCAAGGGCTGATAAACTGTTCACACCACTGAGTGGGTCAATTATTCAAACACAGAGCACAACAATAATGATTAGGGGTGGGAATCAGGGACCTGCTGATGCGGTATATTGATATCTGGGTCACAATACAATAATATTGTGCTTCTTTGTGACAGTTATTCAAAACTGATATATACCGCTACCTTGGTGCTTTTCAGAATTATACTCTTAACCTTAGGAGTATGTTGAGTTCCTTCAATAGTTCTAATTATCTTTTTTCAAAATCAAAAAGATCTGAGAATAATACTGTGAGGTTGTAATACTGTTTCATATCTATTTTTTTCCTCTCATCATTAGTAATGATGTGCGAATGACCTCATTCCAAAGTCTCTGGTTTGTGGTTGTAATGACTCCATTGCTTCCTCACAGAACATTAAAAAACGTTCAGCATTTACTCTGACCTTCTGCATCACGCTGCTCTCAGTGTATGACTAAATGGCTGATGTCAACAGGGGCATTTATTTTATTGCGCTGAAGGTGTATGACACCAGCCTGACACTATTACCGCTGAGTGCATGAAAGCATGAGCAAACACTGCCTAAGAAGTAGGTGTCTTCATCTCAGAAGCATGCTTTGGTTCCAGGCAAAGATAAGGGTCTCTCTTTTCCTCTTATCTTTTTTCAAAATCAAAAAGATCTGAGAATAATACTGTGAGGTTGTAATACTGTTTCATATCTATTTTTTTCCTCTCATCATTAGTAATGATGTGCGAATGACCTCATTCCAAAGTCTCTGGTTTGTGGTTGTAATGACTCCATTGCTTCCTCACAGAACATTAAAAAACATTCAGCATTTACTCTGACCTTCTGCATCACGCTGCTCTCAGTGTATGACTAAATGGCTGATGTCAACAGGGGCATTTATTTTATTGCGCTGAAGGTGTATGACACCAGCCTGACACTATTACCGCTGAGTGCATGAAAGCATGAGCAAACACTGCCTAAGAAGTAGGTGTCTTCATCTCAGAAGCATGCTTTGGTTCCAGGCAAAGATAAGGGTCTCTCTTTTCCTCAAGGATGACGAAAACTTCCTCTCATTTTTGGGTCAATTCAGCCTTAAGAAAAACCCAACTTTCTTTGATCTTACAGACAGCAGACAGCTCACCTCTCCCTCTCTGTCTCTCTCTCTCTCTAGAGATGCAGGTTTTCTGCAAGTATAAGCTGATTAAGAAAGAAACTTTGAGCCGACAGCAGAAAGATCCTCAGAGGAAGTGAGACGGAAGCAAGAGAAAGAAAGGAAGAAAACCGGGAAGAGAGTCTGAGAGAGCGAGAGAGGAGACTGTTTAATTACCAGATGTGTGATGGTGTGAGATGGCGATTTCTGGCACTCCAGGTGTGAATGTCTAACATGAGATGGTCTTATGTATGGATACAGAGGAAGTGTTGGAAGAACAAAGGAACGGGGGACTGCAAAAATGAGCATAATCCATCTCAGGTTCTCACAAAGCCTTACCTCCAACTCTAATGAAAACCTTTTCATTCCAGCCAAAAAATGAACACTGTCTCACACAAACACTAACACTTTTTGTAATCTCCATGGTGCCGTATAAATGCTGAGCTGTGGGTATTTGAGAGGACAAGAAAATGACCAGAAAAGGTGGGAGGAGAGCGAGGGAGAGGGGGTTAAAACAGCAGGAGGCAATTATAGAGGCTATTTCTGGACGACAGAGAGAGAAAGTGAGAGACTTATTAAATTTAAGGTTCAGAAGCATGAAGGGACGAACAGACCAGCAGATGGGTAGATGTTCAGGTAATTGCGGGATGTCGGGAATATGCTGTAAAAAAAACAGTAGAGAGGCAGAAAAGGGAGGTTGCATGTCCGTGTGTGTGTGTCCATGTATAACACTACACAATACCTCAGTGTGTCACAGAGGGTGGACTGAACGGAATACAATGGCTTTACTGTCAGCAGAACATCATGCACACACATACACACACACACACACACACACACACAGTGAACTACACTCATTTGAATTTCTGTGATAAATTCAGGTTCAGCTGAAATAGCACTGGAAACCTCTTAAGAGAGCTTGAAAAAAAACATTGAGTTAGGGTTGTGAAATATATTGAATAGTCAAAGTGTATTTTCAATGACTTTGTTGGCAATACAAAAATAAGATTAAAATGTGCTTATTTAGCCATTATGTTTCCTAATCAGAGTTCTGTAAATTAAACTGTTGATTTCGGTGAACTCTAATTCAATGAGTAGTTTGTCAAAAATGTCCATGAAAGCCTCTGTGTGATGTTTAATTTATTAAATGTTTTTAAAAACACATGTAAATATTGTTTTTTACTATTTATGTATTGTTACATTGTTGCATAAAATTACACACACACACACACACACCTACCTTTCCAGATGTTTTTCAGAACAACATTAATTATACACTTTATACATTAAATATGTATTAGATCTTTCAGAAAAATATTCATTATATCTTTTATATGTTAAATATTGTTCAATACATAAAAACAATATAAAAAAAATTTTCAGCCTTTTTTAGCTATATTGCCCACCTGCAGAATCAGTCTATAAATGAATGAATAAAAAAATGAAAAAGGAAGGAAAGGTCATCTTTGAGCTGTAAACGGAAAGTCACTGAATAATGCGGACACTCCCGTTCTGGAAGACTCCATTCAGTAAAGACTGTAGGCTGTTATGAGTGAGAAAAACTGAGAAAGATAGAGTGAGATTGGCATGGTAACAGTGTAATGGCTTTTAAAAGGATGTTCAGATTGCTCACCTTTCCATTCAGAATCCAGAAAAAAAAAAAAACATAAAAGCTACTTTCAGAATGAATGATTCAACAGATCTATCCTGTTCACTTCAAGAATTCATTCAACGAGAAAAACACTACACACAGATAAAACTGGCCACTCAAAGAGAGAGACAAAGAAAAAAAAGAGAGAGTTGCTCATTGTTCCATGATATTGGCCTCACTGTGTCAGAGACAAACTGAAGGTGGAGCACATTTTCTGTGAAGGGCCACCAAGAGCCTCTCCTTAAAGAGAGAATATATCCATGACTAATGACAACCTAGAAGAGCACTCAGCCAAAGAATAACAGCATGAATGGAAATGAGTACAGGGTAGTGCAACACACACATCTTCTCCAAAAAGGAGGGTACCAGGGAGTGGGTCGCAGTGGGGCCTCACTTTAAATATGTGCTCTAAACTTTAATGTGTTCCATACCAGCATTAAGAGACTAAATATAGAGCAGAAGGGGGCTATTCTGACTGACCATATGCATGGGACTTTCTCTCTCTCTAACACACACCCACGGTTAATTTAGCCCAGACTGGGCTATTCTTAACAGACCTGCCCTATACTCAAGGGCACAAAAGGGTAAAGGATATAAAAAAGAGCGAGAAACAAACATAAGAACCTTTCACTCTTGCAGCCTCACCCACAAAGCTCTAGGGATTTTCCATCTGAGGGTCATGAGTGAGATCCTAGTTAGCTTTTCCAAGAAAACTGATCTAACAACTCTGCATTCAAAATTCACACATATGGGAATTTACAGTTTTGATGAGGATTTCTTATCTTATCTAGCAGATTATACTACTATGAGAAGTGTTGCTTTATCAGATGACAATACAACAGTACTTAGATATGTACTGTGGTCCTGAATGATTAAACTGTTCATACACCACAGTTTTTACATGGTACTTCAAAAATACCATGGTATTACCATCACAGCAGCAGAGGTCTGAAAAAATGGAGAGCGACATAATGAATCTATCTTTTTTGAGCACCAAAAACCATGGTAATACCATAATATTATTCGTGGTTATAACAAGATGCTATATTAGCGACAGAAACCAGCATCAACAGGACAGATTCACCAGTAAAACCACAAAAACATGTGATCTGCATGACATGCTTGACTAATGCAGCATGCAAAACGTCAAAGCAGAAAGCATTATAGCATAACAGGCTAATTTTATTAGACTGCTTGCTGTTACGAAGCTGAAGTAAAGCTTCAATTTTTCTTTAATCCAACTATTTCAATGATTCATGAAATGAAGGCAGACTCTGTCTAGAAGATGCACATTGTTTAAACATTGCAAAATGGTGAAAACACAAAATGTTTTAATTTGAAATGATATAAAGTCTTGTACCCTGCCATTGGTATCCGTAGGTCTATAGTTAGCATAGAGAAGAAAAACAGCTGAGTTGGTAATAGGAAAAAAGGGGTGTGGGCAAACGAATAAAAGTCAGGGCGTATCAATAGGAGTGGATCTGTTTTTAGACTGTCCACATCAACACTCAAAGACACAGGATTGCTAGATGAGAAAACAAACATTCACAACATTTTTGTTGTATTAAAGTAAACCACTTTCTGTGAACACAAAATCTCCCCATTCCAAGTTATCTGTCTGTCTCGTAATGTTGCTTAATGCAACACTATCACAGCCAATCAGAATATATTTGAGTGTGTTTTTGGACAATAAAGATTTATCTGGGGGGGGCAACACAGGTTGACACAAAAAAGTAATAGAAACCAAAAAAAATGTCTAGTCACTCACTGCAGTTGTGGCTGCTTAGGATTAAAACTTTTTACATGAAAGAGATTTTTTTGCATCATTCTTGGATAGGAAGTGGGGTTATAGACTGTGATGGTGGGGTTTTTCTAGGACAGATGGCGAGTTATGTAGTATAAAGGATTTTTTAGAACAGAATGTGTAATTGAAGGTGTGTGGGCAAAAAAAAAAAAATCCAAAAAAGCAGGGAGTGAGAGAAAAACAGAAACAAATTGAGACAGGATAATCATACCATACCTCTTGCCAAAGCTGCTGATCGTTTGGCCAATCTTGGGTGAAGTCAGTTGGGGTTTCCGTTGGCGGGCCGCAGGGGATCTTTTGGCTCCAGCAGAAGCTTCATCAGTCTGGCGAGTGGGACTTTTTGGGCTGGATTTGTTTAAGTCTTTCAGAACATCGTAGTTTATTTTAGTGGAGATGCGTTTCTGCTCCAACATCTTTTCAATGGCTTCATCTGCAGTGCTGGCACTGATGGGCTCACGCCTCCGTGCTTTTTTTCTAGGCTTTGAGACAACATAAAAATAAGAAGGTAAACACATAAACATTTGAGACCCTGACAACTGCACCTGCATTTATGAAGTGCCTTTTACCTTCCGCTCTTTATATGTACCCTCCTCCTTTTCCTTTGCTATTCTCTCCTCCTTTTCTGAAGAAAAACAAAAGTGTTCCAAACTCAATTTAAATGAATCTGTCAAGGCTAAAATGAACAAATTGGAAACTTCAATCTCTTCCACCTTTCTGTTCTTTGAGGTAGTCTGCATTTTGAAGCATCCACAGTTCAGTCTTTACCTTAACTTCCTTCTCATTAAGGATATACTAAGAGAAAAAAAGAGAAACAATATATAATCCCTTACGTCATGGTGGATGAGTTGAAGAGACAGTAAATCGCAACATATCCAATTCAACTCTATTCTAATGCAATCCCATTATTCAGTTTTGGATGTGAAATCCCATCTCAGATTTCAGCTTTATAGAACCACAATGACGCTGATTCTCTCAATGGACAAGACTTCAAACATGAGCTTATGTAACTCTGTATTTGCTTTCAAAGCAAATTACCATGTCGTTACCATAGTGAGGTCAAAACTCACCCGATCGATCTCATCCTCGTCGATACCGCTCAGGTCTAGCTCACAGTTTTCTTCCTCCACATCTGATGGAGAAAAACAAAGACTGTTCCTAAATATTTAAGATTTTATTTGTAGATATAAGAACATCACAAGTCATATTCATTTTTTTTTTCAAAATTAAAACAAAAACCACAAAATGAAATGAAATAAAATATTTGTGTTGTGAATCTCATTCAGACTGCTTTGACAAAAGAAAAACAAAAAGAGTCTCGCCTTGTGCTTTCTCCACATAATTAAAGTGTATTTAAGGTTTCACTTTCCTAAGGAGAAACACATGCTGATTATGCATTATAGCATTTATATTTTTGCTGCCATTCAGAAAACAGTTCTCTGAGCCAGTTGTTCAATTAGGGTAGTGGATATATACAGAAAATCCCACTGCAGTCTAACCTTAAAACCTTCATAAAAAAATGTCCCTCAGCAAAACCACGTGGCAAAATAAACTCGAATACATGTGTGTTTCTCTGTAGTTTCTGCCCTGTAGCAAATCTTACTGGATAGTCCACTGGGGCTGCTGGGATCATTATAACAGTGGCTCTACAGTAGAAACTTCCAGGGTTATTCTCCCTCTGCCTTTCGTCTCTTTCCTCTTTTCCAGGTCCAGTTCCTCCCTTCCCCCAACTTTACTCTTTTCTTTCTGCCTGGAGATTGCTGGCAACGCTTCAGAAGTTTGCTTTATAGAGCATCCCTCGCTCTCTCTCTCATGTGTTGTATTGGGGAAGGGGTTAGGGGGAAAAAGCACAGAAAGAGAGGGAAATTCTGGTTTTCTCGCTTCTGAACAGGGGGCCCTCAATGCCAGCAGATCCCGTGAGTCAAGAAACCTGACCTCCTCTTACCGCTCACATCTGAACACGCACAGACAAAACACATTTAAACCAACACACAGAGAGTCCTCCAATACCGCACATCAAAACACACTGTGCCATGAGTCACATGTGTGTGATGTGGTGAGAGCATGAATAGCAGAGATTAGTTACAACAGGCGAAATAAAACCACACCAGAGAGAGACTACCAGGTGCAGCTGGATTCAAGAAAAGAGAAGATGAATAAAGAGAGCCAAACTGTAATAAAACCAGCAGTGCAGTCTCTCTTTCCCATTAAGCCTAACTTTGTGTTCATGTTCAAATGTTGTTTTTTGTCCCGTCTGTTTTCATTTACTATAGCATTTAAAGTGTTCTTTTAATAGTCATTTTAATAGCATTTAGTGTTACTTTTTGTTCAGTATTGACTTGGTCATGACTACTGCCACTTAAAGGGATAGTCCACCCAAAAATTAAACTTCTGTCCCCATTTACTCACCCTCATGTTAATCCAAATACAGTACTGGTTTTTCTTTAGTGTCTTTTGCTTGCAATTACAATTAATGTGGACTGAAGGATTCAAACTTCAAAAAGGATGCAAAAGCACCATAAATATAGCCTATATAACTCGTGCACTATATTTCAAGTCTTCAAGTAACATGATGATATTACTAGTAATATGATGCTGAATCTTAAGTCAGCATGAAACCGAAATTGCGATAGTCTTTTCTTCATTATTGTAATGCATGGACTTGATTTTGTCAGTCGAAAGTGATTGGGTTGATGGATTTGGTCATGTGCTAAGGGCACATGAAGTTTATAAAAGCTAAAAAATAATGATGCACTCAATTTGTTTTAATAAACACTGCAACATTCCATAAAAACATAAAATTGTTCATTTCAATTTCATTATGACAGTAGTCAACATTAATTCTAGAACTGGATCAGTTCAATTTGTGAATGAATCGTTCAGACTGTTTTTGTGAACCAGATCAATTGATTAAATTAAAAGATCTGATATAAAAGAACAATTTATTCACACACTGGACATCACTAGGGCAGAGAGCGGGGTTAAGATTTTAAATGAATATTGACTAATTTCAGTCCATTCTTTGCACAAAGTTATCATACAACTTCAGAACACTTCAAATATAGTCGCATTGGTTGCTTTTATGGTGCTTTTTCAAGTTGTTTTTAAACCTTTTTTCAGAAACCATTTAAAAAAAAAAGTCTGAATATAATCTCCAAAATGTATAATTTTGTGTTGCACAGAAGAAATAAAGTCACATGAGCAAGTAAACAATAACAATTTTCATTTCCGAGTGAACTGTCCCTTTAACCTCACCTGAAAATCACAGAGGCAATAAAAAAAACCCTGAGAAGCAGAAAAAATGAACCAAGTTCAACAAAATTACAGAGAAGAGAAACAACAAATGACAGACTCCACCTAACACTAATCATTCTTCCTCTTCATCTATTCCCCTGTTCTTCAAATCTAAAAACGTCTCCATCCTGAGGCTAAATTTCTGAATGATGTTGTCCACCTAGACATTAGCGTTTCCGTGTGCCTTCAGAAAGAGTTCAAAGGCCCCCCTTCATCTCCAGAGGTTTCACTGACACCAACACCTGTTCAGCGTCAAGCACGGTGTCTGACTAAAGACGTACTGATATTTCAAGATATCACCAGACGGACACCTCCTTTCTTTCTCTCCCTGGACAATTCTCTCTTCAGCACAAGCAGAAGCTCACCAAACGTAATCATCTGATAACGTCACTCAAACTGACTGGCGGGTCAGAAGAACAAGCGCTAAAGCCCAGTGAAAGGAAAAGACGCACAATGGAGATGCAGAGATATGGAATGAGAGAGGAAGGGGGGTTTCTTCTTGAGGCGAAGAGGGCAGACAGCCCCATTAAAAACTGACCCCTTCTTACCCCTGTGACTTCCCCAGGGAAACCCCTCGCCCACTCACACACCTGCTACAACTCTCTATATCGCCCAGAGGCTGGAAAGAGAGAACGAGAGCGAGAGAAAATGTCAAGAGAAAATATATGCATGTGCTTTTTCACACTCTACTGTACATCCACAGAGCAAAAAATGGGGAGGGTTGGACATATTTTTGTATAATAAAATGGAAATGTAACAGCAGAGAGAAGAAGAGAGAAAAAGATTTGAACAGACTTTATTCATGAGATTTCCCATTCCCACATGTTCGGTTGCTCTTCAGGTGTTAAATCTAGACAGGAAAACAGCCTCACGGGGGTCCGCACACAGATTTTTCTGTCAGTGCATGTTAACGGAACAGTGAACGTGTCTATCACATGGATCGGGCCTCCCACAGTCATTTGCTTTTTCCCCTCTCCACACGTCTGTCAGTCAGTCACACGTTTATGATGTCATATTTCACACAGATAGCAGCGTCCCTGTCGGATGACATCACATCACTGTCAGTGCTTCACAGTGCATTTCATTAGGAGAAAACAAAGCAATAAATGAGTGACACGAATTAACATAAAGATAACAAATCAAACAGCAGGAAAATAAGGGAATGTAAACATTATAAATCATTAATTTGTCATGTTGAAAAATTCACTACAGCTAGCACAATGTTGCTATGACAATGGTTTCACAGCTTCAAAATTTTTTTATTTTTTATTATACTCTAGTTTAAAGTTGATACTACGGCTTGGTGATGAATTTAATGATACATTCATGTAGATTTCGATGGAGAAGTAAAATGAAGTTACACTGTGAATATTGTACAGATTTTAATGTGCTTTCGATGAGAGAATTCAAATTCAATATTTATATATGACTATACAGTTGCATCTCAATAAATTAGAATGTCATGGAAAAGTTCATTTATTTCAGTAATTCAACTCAAATTGTGAAACTCTTGTATTAAATAAATTCAATGCACACAGACTGAAGTAGTTTAAGTCTTTTGGTTCTTTTAATTGTGATGATTTTGGCTCACATTTAACAAAAACCCACCAATTCACTATCTCAACAAATTAGAATACTTCATAAGAAAGTATTCTCTAACTTTATTTAATACACGAGTTTCACAATTTGAGTTGAATTACTGAAATAAATGAACTTTTCCACGACATTCTAATTTATTGAGATGCACCTGTATATACAGTACCATTTAAGAAACATTTCTTATTATCAATGTTGAACAGTTGTGCTCTTTTTCTTAGGAATCTTTGGTGAACAGGAACCTTAAAATAAATACATACATACACACACACACACACAATCTCAGTGCATGTTAACTACATAAATATCAATATCGTCAAAAGGGTGAAAAAGACAGATCATTTCTTAGCTATATCACCAAGACCAAGTATTAATCATAAGACCTACAACTTACACAGCACCTCAAAAGCATGTGATCTGTGACATTATTCTAAACATTGTGTTTATGAACATCATTATAAAGACTAACAAAGGCACATCTGTGTGCATTATAAAAGCCTTATGAATGTAAATTACCATCACTTTTGGTCCATCTGTCCTTTACAAACCCCTAACAGCTGTCCTGAGGATGTGTTCAAAGCGAACAAGAAGAATAAATGTCACTCACACACTTACTCTGTCTTTCATTCTCCTTTGAAAGGCACCTCTCCCTCCCCTCCTCTCTCTATCTATCTCCTCCCACTTTATCCCTCTTTCCTAGTGTAAATGAACAAGTCTTTTCTCTCCTCCTACTCTGAAGATCCAGGGAGACTCTGACAGATGCGAAGAGGGGAGGGCAGGATCTATCTACTTTTTTATGTTACAGGCAAACAGTGAACAGTAAAAATATGCAAAGGGACTAGAAATTAGACAGAAATAAACTTAATGGACTGACTTGTCAATTAACGAAAGGAAAAACAGAAACACAGAAGCACAGTAAAACTAGATATTTTGGCATCTCCTACTGTGTGGTCAGCAAGGGGGCCGGAGAGGACAGTGAGTGACCATCTGGAGACTCACACTCACTGCGGCATTGTTAAGATCACAGGTCCTCCGCCCCCTCAGAGAATTACACTGCATTACACAGCAGCACCGGATTTTTCTCTCCACACACACACACACAAAGGGAAACCCTTCTGACATCCTCACAGAAGAGAAATGACCTTAGAAAAACAGGAAAAGTCAAAATGAAAAGGTACAAAAAAGAAAGACAGGATGAGGAGAGGATGGAGACCTTCAAACGCCAGTTTACAACTTGCTCTCTATCCTTTATTGGCATGGCAAAAATTGTATGTTTATATTGACAACATATTTCAAGCACAGCAAAATTGTGAGAAAGAACAGAGAAGCATGAGTCAATACTACTCTTTGAAAATTCATATACATACCGTAGAACACAGTGTAAAGGGAAGTATAGTAAATAATTTAAAACACAGCTTCTGAGGAAATATATTAACATTGTGGAGTAACATAGATAGTAGGAACTGATGAATTTAAATAAAATGGAATAAAGATGTAATATTCATTAAAACAAGTTACTGTGATAGTTCACTCAAAAATGACAATTCTGTGATCATTTATTCACCTCATGTCAGTACAAACCTGTATGACTTTCTTTTTTGTGTATAAAAAAGATACCTTGTGAAATGTCTCAGTGTTTTTTGTCCACAAAATGGAAATCAATGGTCACAAAAAGTATTTGGTAATCAACAGAAAAAATACCTTATTTTGTGTTGTGGAGAACAAGAAAATCAAACAAGTTTGGAATGATATGAGAGTTAGAGAATGACAACAATTTTCATTTTTGAGTGAACTATCCCTTTAAGGAAAATTATGAAGTACAAGACTAATGGTGCCAATAATGGTGATAATGAAGTTCTCTATCTCTGATGCAACATACTGTATACTGGCACATCACACAAACATGTTTGTATTTTTAAATAAGAACATCCAGCTCGCTCTCATTCTCACACAGAAGAACTAGAACACTCTAACAAGCATCTTATTGTCTGGAATGGAACAATGAGCCTACCTAAAAATAAACAGAGAATAGACAGAAAAAGCTGAAGCAGACAGAACCAAGACAGAAGTGCACACACACAGAGAGCCATATTGTCAGTGCCCATATAAAATCACAGAGATGAAATAAACAAATTGAGAGAAATAAATGACATATTGCTGCCAATTTACAAGGCATTCACTTGAGTTTACCTAGACGCTGGGCAAAACAAAAGCACTAAAAATACCTCTTCACTGAGTCATGATTTTTCCTGAACCCCACTCAAAAACCAAACCAAAATATACACACGCACTGTTCGAGCGGGTCTCGCGGGCAAACAAACTCGCACACAGCCACCCATAGTGGGTGGATGAAAGACAGTGTGCTAATGACAAGGTGCTGTGTTCAATTAATGCTTCAAAGAGTGGAGGGGGGGCTTCCTCTTCCTCCACCCCATACAAATCATCCACAATCACCACAACCAATCGAAAACATGACAACCTGCTCGCACAGCCAATCACACAATCTGACAACCTGACAAGCACACTATCCCCAGGAGTTTACCAGCTGCAGCTCTCCTGCCTGTGATCAACAAAGTCTTATTCTCTCTCTCAAATGCTCTAGTGCTATAGAGTAAACGCAACAACCACAAAAGATAACACAATCATTTCAGTCACTCTTCAGTCACTCAAATAAGTCACTCTTAGAGTTCTGTTGTGCAGAGGCTCGGTAACTCTCGCTATAGTGTAGATGTGGTATAGATCAAAATTTTAGAAAAGAAGTCGCTCCCATTTCACTCCTCTTCCTCCATTTATAGCATAACAGCACAAATGTCTGAATGAAGGGTGAATCTAGAATAAAAGTGAATTAAAAATGGATAAATGTCAATGTCTACAAAAGGAGTCACTCCAGTTACACTCCACATCATATACTATATTTATGTCATAACAAAACAATTGTGTGAATGAAGGGTGAATCTAGAATGAAAATGGATTAATGTGAATGCTTAGAAGAGAAGTCACTCCAGTTCCACTCCTCTTCCTCTATCTATAGCATAACATTACAAATGTGTGAATGAAGGGTGAACCTAGAATGAAAGTGAATTAAAAATGGATAAATGTCAAAGTCTACAAAAGGAGTCACTCTAGGTACACTCCACGTCATATACTGTATTTATGTCATAACAAAACAATTGTGTGAATGAAGAGTGAATCTAGAATGAAAATGGATTAATGTGAATGCTTAGGAGAAATCACTCCAGTTCCACCACTCTTCCTCGATCTATGGCATAACATTACAAATGTGTGAATGAAGGGTGAACCTAGAATGAAAGTGAATTAAAAATGGATTCATGTGAATGTCTAGAAAAGGAGTCACTCCAGTTACACTCCATGTCATCTATTTATGTTATAACAGCACAAATGTGGGAATGAAGGTTGAATTTGAAATCAAAGTGGATCAATGTGAGTTTAAAATAGGAGTCACTCCACTTACACTCTTCTTCTATATGTCGTAATAACACAAATGAGTGACTTGACAATGAATGTGGAATAAAAAGGAATTAATGTACAGTAAGTGATTACAAAAGGAGTCACTCTAGTGCCATTCTTCTACTCATGTGGTATTAGAACAAATGTGTGGCTAAACGAACGTGAAATGAAAGTGGATTAAATGAAAGTGGATTAATGTGAGTGTTTAGAAAAGGAGTCACTCCAGTTCCACTCTGCTTAAACTCATTACAAAACAGAAAAAAGTGTAAATGTGTGAATGGCAAATGTGGAATAAAAATGGAAAGAAAGTGGATTAAATGAAAGTTAATTAACGTTAATGTTTCACAAAGTTGTCATTCCAGTGACACTACTTCTTCTCTACTTATACCGTGTCATAGTTTTGACAGCAAAAATAGTGATAATAAAAAGGGACTGTGGAATTAAAGCGGATTAAGCGTTTGTGCAGTTTGAAAATACAAGCACACTCCTACCATTCTCTTTTTCCTCTCTCATTTTGGTGATGGACTCGGGCAGGCCCAAACTGGCTGCAGTGGGAAGTGCTCCAAGCAATAATGCTAACGAGGGCCGTTTGGTTGGAGAGACTTTCTCTCTATCTCCGTCCTGCTCATTGCCATCTCCATCCTCTCCAGATAAAGTACTGCACAGGTGAGATGCTGCTGCCCTCAGCTCGTCATCCTCTCCTTCCTCATCACCAGCTAGGATGCTGGACGACACCAAGGAAATCACATCATCTGGAAAAAGCAAGCAAGAAAATATGCACACATCACAAATGAATCATTGCAGGAACATCAAATAAAAGAGTATAATGAAAGAAAGAAAAAACTGCATGAATGCAAACACAGTGAATTTATTTTTGTAATTAAATTATTTTGCTAATTAAAACATAAATCTAGATGCATTCGCCCTTTGATTTTAAACTTCGCTATGATCCAGCTGAGAAGGGGTGAAAGTAATTATACAAACAAACACAGCTGACCACAGTAACACACATGCATGCACACACACAACCGTAAAGTGAACACACATGCATGAACAGAGACACTCAAACACACATACAAACACTCCCATACTCGCGGTCTTAATTAGTTCCCTCCTGTAATTACTACATTATTATAGAGAGATAACACGCATGGGGAAACACTGGATCTCTGATTGTGGGTGCTGCTGAACAAGGAGCTAATTGGACAGCAACATAAACAGAATTTCTGCACAAGGGAAGTAACACTCCATTTCCTGAAGAAAACAGCAGTTCTCACAAAGCAATTCTGACAACAAGATAATCATTTGTTTTAAACGTAAACATTTTGGGTGTCATTCACCAATAATTTTGTTTCTCACTGGCACTTTCCAGTATTCATACACACATTGATTACCCATATCTTACCCTTGTTCTTACCCATATTCTAATGAGAAATCTGGAATATCCTAAATGAAGGACTGTGTGCCTGCAGTTAGTAATTGGCAAAATATATGCTCAAACAATCTTCATTTCACAATCTGTATTTCTGTAGCTTAAACAGAGGATTGTAAATGTTCAAGTAAGGTCAAGTGTTTCATTCTTAAAACCAGATGATACACAATTAACTGGCCTAAACTACTCTTGATGGTTGTATGTGCATGTCAATTCTATCCAATAATGAATGATATTTCTATATTATATCATTTTTTACACTGTTTACTTAATTTTAATAAGTTAAAAATAGATATTAAAACGTATACTTATAAAAATGTTACTCAATGAAAGTGTAGAGATTTCTTTAAAATAAATAAATTATTTTATTCAAAAAGGAAGCAATTAATTCAATCAAAAGTGACAGTAAAGAATGTGCTATATGATGTTTTTATATAAATGTTATATAAAAGACATCTATTTCAAATAAATGCTGTTCTTTTGAATATTCAACTTATCAAGTATTCCTGAAAAAATTTTACAGTTTCCACAAAACTGTTGCAGCACAACAATTTTCAACTGGGAAGAAAACAAAAAATGTAATCACCAAATCAGCATATTAGGATGATTTCTGAAGAATCCCATAAAAACTGAAGACTGGAGTAATGGATGCTGAGAAATTATTTATATTTAAATTGTAATGATATTTTTCAATATTACTGATTTTACTAGGGATGTAATGATATTATCAATATCGAAATATCACGATACCAAAACTCGAGATTATCGTGGTCACATGACGCTCTTCTGGGCAAAAAGTGTATTTTACTGTATATTTAAATATTCTAACATAAAAGGTCTTTAAAGTTGTGTTTTTGGCCATTATGCTTTGACACAGTATCTGTCAGAACTAAAACCAAAAGCACAATATGGCTTAATCCCTTCATCAAGTCTGTTTGTGCTGCGCATTTCAAAGCGAAGCGCACATTGTTCATGCGATCAGCTCGTGATCCGGTGTTTTCCGTGCCTCCGAACGGCTCCGTTCACAGTGAACTCGTTTATTGCACGTACTGTGAGTTACCGCGCATTTGGAAACGCAATAGCTACCAGTTAGGCTTTATTTTCGCGGCAGATGTTTACAGCATTTCACTAGATTTGACACGCGTTTTTGTTTTTGTAAGCCTTTTTCACTGAAGCTGGAGTTTTCCTTCAAAATAAAAGCTCTACTGCCATTTCTGTCAAAATAAAAGCTTAAAAGTGCAGTATGAATTGCTGACAGCTAGCTGTTTAAATGCAGTCCAAATAAAAAAAAATCTCTTTCAAGTGCAGAAATTAGGAAAGAAGTATTGTAATTTCCCTACTGTAAAGCAAAATATACCTATGAAATATTAATTTTCATTTATTTTACTGTGTAATTTTTACAATACATGGCTACTGTCATTGTTATTATTATTATTATTATATTCTAATTTGTTTGGCTTCCTAAAACACCTGTGTGAATGTAATTTAGACTGAGACAGTATATCACAAATAAAAAGAGGGTTGAGAGTCCCCTTTAAACTTTCAAGTCAATTCACTGACTTTTCTAAGAAGTTTTCTTAGTTAAGAAACATGGGTTGCAGCTCTTAATTTTGAACTCTCAAAGTGCATTAGATAGAATAATTGAACTTTAAAATGTACTAAATGTAAATTTTTCCCCCAGTTCTTTATTTGGCTTTTTTTTGTGTTAAATATCGCAATAAATATCGTATCGTGGACTTCACATCGTGATATTATCTTTTTTTTTTTTATGTTTGTATTTTTGTACAAGTATTTTTGATCACATAAATGTAGCTTTGGTGAGCAAAAGACGCATAAACATTAAAAAGTCTTAATGAAGCACAAACTTTGGAATGTTAGTGTATTTTTCTGCGGGATTGTGTGTGAACACTGTACCATCTTTGGAATAGGATGCATAAATCCCCCTGGCTTTGGGCCTACAGCTCTCCAGCTCGACTTCAATCTCATCCTGATATCCACAGATTTCACCTGCAGAGCACATACACACATGTACACACAGAGCAACACGTCAACAACACAACGTATTACGTTTGTTCAAACACCCATGATGTTAATTAAAGCATAAACTCCTGTCGAAATGTTTCTAGGTACCTTCAATATCATCAACTTTCTTTGCAAGCTCTTGCTCAATCTGTGGAAGGATTTGGGAGGAGATACATTTTACAGATACAATATCGCACATATTGCAAGAATGGCTGCTTTAAACGTTAAAATCTCTAACTTTAAGTGATGTGTAACCTGTTTTAGCTTTTGCTTCCTGAGTCCAGCTGTGTAAGAGGGCGGGTCACACTCCGGCTCCAGATCCACCCGCATGAACTCTTCAATTGTCAGCTCACTGGTGGGCGTGTCCTCAAATTCATTCAGCCTGTCAATCAAACACACCGGGGGTCAAGACATACAATTGAACAGCAAAATGGGCCCTAAATTCAAAGAGAGTGCAACACCAAAATACAGAAATGGCACCAATTATATACAATAATATTAATGATATTGCTACAGTTTATAATAAAAGTATTAACTGAGCACAGATTGTAGCCATACTGTGATTAATATTTAAGACAAAACACACCTTTTCCTCAGTGTGGCTTCACAGACTTTCACCACACTGATCACTTCCTTAATTGTGCGACGGAACTCGTGCATACGGGCAGCAACCAAGAGCGCTACAGGGAACACAAATACACAACTGTAGGGACAACATACAGCCAATGGCAAGAGAAAAAGAGAGGATAAGAGAGAAGGAAAGGAGAGAGGACGCATAGTCAAATATGAAACATTAATAAGGCTTCAGAAAAGTGCATCCGCTGTACCTGCCCCCCTACTGACTCACCTCAGGCAGAACAAACAGACATTAAATGCACCTGCAATACCGCAGAACCCCTGATGCCTGTTTCACTCTGATTCATTAAAGAAACATGAAGAGCCAGATGCACTTCAGAGCTACCTGACAATCTGAAGAATGTCCAACACCACAAAGCATGCAAGCATGTAAAAGATACTGAAGAATTTTAGAGCTTAATGATTCCTCAAAGATGAACTAATTAGAAATATGACATTGAGATTGTCATTCTCCAAAACTATTTTACTGACTTTTTGCTTTTTATTTGACTGCCAACAACAGCTTAAACTGACATCATTTTAATGGATAAAAGGGTAAGGTGTGCCACTTCTGATTTAGATTGTCCTGCAAGTAAGGAGAGATGAGATTAAAAACAATAACGCAAGGTTAACCTCTCCAAAATGTGGAAAAGCAAAACACTATTTAAATTTCAAATACAAATATGGACATAAATGAGAAAAAATTATTTTCTAATTCATAAGACAGGAGAGCTGTCAATCAATAAATTGGGAAAAAAAAGTAACTTGCGTTACTTATTTGAAAAAGTAACTCAGATATTCTCTTGTAAATTAAAAAGTAATGCGTTACTTTACTAGTTACTTGAAAAAAGTAATCTGATTACGTAACTCACGTTACTTGTAATGCGTTACCCCCAACAGTGCTCATCAGTATCATGTGATACTGAAGACTGAAGTAATGGCTTTCCTGAAAATTCAGCTTTTCCATCACAGGAATAAATTACATTTAAAAAAAATATTAAAACAGACAACAGTTATTTCAAATTGTAACAATACTTCGGGATATTACGCTTTTAACTGTATTTTGGATCAATTGAAATAAATGCAGCTTTGGTGAAGACTTTTTTCAAAATATTTTCAAATATTTTTTAAATCTTACCGACCCTAAACTTCTGGATGATAGTGAATATGTTTAGATCTATATAGACCTTTTCATGAAAAAAATAAATAAATAAAAAGTACGTTGTCATATAAAAAAGTATTTAAAAAAAACACATCACTTTTCTCATATGCATTTCTCAATCATAGATAGCATTATATGAGAGTCCTTACATCATATAAATACATGATTAATGCGATGACACATTTTACCCTGCTCTCCCCTACATGTTCAGGGTTATCAGCTACGTCTAACCCAGTGCGATCCTGTGCTCAAGTTCATGTGGTGTAATAAAAACACCCGTTTCCTCCTCTGCTGTTAACCCTGCAGGATATCAAACCAATCTGTGTTCCAGCTACTACATGAGGACTATTCAATAAGCTTGAGGCCTTCATCACGCTCAGCGGCTCTCCCTGCATCACAGTTTGTCTTCATTCTAGGTCTTTCTCACATTCTTTCATTCTCTCTGTTGGCCTGCCTTTCTTTCTCAAGTCTCTGATCTATCGCTGCGAAAAACAAACTCTTTAGGCTCATGCTTCCTCTATTCTCAGCACTCCTTCTAAAAGATTAATGGGAGATTAATTATTCAGGTTATGCAGTGGAGGGGGGGCAGAGAAACTCAAGCTGAGAGTCAGGAGTCGTCGGTTATTTTTAAAAACTTAATTACTGGAACTCAGTATTATTAGACTGTGTCAAGTTTACACAAGACTGAAAGTGTGAGAAAGTAAAACCGATATTGATAAAAATGCAATAGAAATTAGCTGCACTGGATCTCTGAGGCAATTCACAGTGCCAAGAAAGGCCTCGGTGAGTGTGAGAAAACTAACACTTTCAGGAATCATTCTCTTTCATTAAGACTGATTGGTGATTTGGGAACCGCTTCAAATGCATGAGCTGATCTAATTACACATTATGACAAACTGTTTCTTAAAAAGTTTCCTGACACAAAACTTTCAATTCTGGAAAGGGTTTCGGGAGCGTACATTCCAACTGTGGATGTTTCAGCGATGGTGTATGTGGTTTTGCACATACAAAGCAACCCTTCACTAGCTCACATCATTAAAGAGATCGCACTGTTAGGGGAGGGTTGCCATGGTTACCTGCTCCGCAGAGGCCTGAAGGTCTTCGTCCCGTGTGCATCCAGTCTCTCTTCATCCTCTGCAGGAGACGCAGTGCTGTCATCGAAACCTCATGGCTCTTCTCTCCAAATTCCAGCATTTGCGCAAAGCGCGGGATATAAAGACACGGATCTGAAAGAAACAAATCTCTTACAATTACAAAGCTACACAGAGAATATTTAGACCTTCTCAAACACAGTTGCATTTTCATTTCAATAACGTTCAGCCAGTAACTATTTAGGTTACTTAGTTACTTTTTATGGAAAGTAATGTGTTACGTTACTTTTGCGTTACTTTTACAATCTGGACAGGGCTTGCTTTTTTGTTTTTAAAATAAAAAAGTTCTATTTTTGGCAAATATAAAAGCCTTTTCACACCAAAAGTTAAATGAATAAGCCTCAGGCTGAAGGGAAAGTAAATTTACATCCGTACTGTAGAATGCAGAAGATGATTTCAACACACTTCAGCAATAAAAAAAAAGACACACGAATGTTTGTCTAGAGTAATTTTTGCTTATTAGTATGGTTGAACTGGATCATCGAAGGTCAGAAGCAAAGACATTGGTTAATAGAATGGGATTAAATTCATAAAGGATATTTGTGTTGTTTAACATTTAATTATTGCAGGTTTGCGTCATATTCTGAGTTGCATTATTTTTATTCATTTTGAGGAATACTGAATCTGTGTTGTTGTTTTTTTGTGAGTGAGATGAATTAATGCATATTCATATTTATTTTAGAACTACAGTAACATCTTCTGATTTCTCTCAACATGGGGACAGGAGAGCTGTCAATCAATAAATTGGGAAAAAAAAGTAACTTGCGTTACTTATTTGAAAAAGTAACTCAGATATTCTCTTGTAAATTAAAAAGTAATGCGTTACTTTACTAGTTACTTGAAAAAAGTAATCTGATTACGTAACTCACGTTACTTGTAATGCGTTACCCCCAACAGTGCTCATCAGTATCATGTGATACTGAAGACTGAAGTAATGGCTTTCCTGAAAATTCAGCTTTTCCATCACAGGAATAAATTACATTTAAAAAAAATATTAAAACAGACAACAGTTATTTCAAATTGTAACAATACTTCGGGATATTACGCTTTTAACTGTATTTTGGATCAATTGAAATAAATGCAGCTTTGGTGAAGACTTTTTTCAAAATATTTTCAAATATTTTTTAAATCTTACCGACCCTAAACTTCTGGATGATAGTGAATATGTTTAGATCTATATAGACCTTTTCATGAAAAAAATAAATAAATAAAAAGTACGTTGTCATATAAAAAAGTATTTAAAAAAAACACATCACTTTTCTCATATGCATTTCTCAATCATAGATAGCATTATATGAGAGTCCTTACATCATATAAATACATGATTAATGCGATGACACATTTTACCCTGCTCTCCCCTACATGTTCAGGGTTATCAGCTACGTCTAACCCAGTGCGATCCTGTGCTCAAGTTCATGTGGTGTAATAAAAACACCCGTTTCCTCCTCTGCTGTTAACCCTGCAGGATATCAAACCAATCTGTGTTCCAGCTACTACATGAGGACTATTCAATAAGCTTGAGGCCTTCATCACGCTCAGCGGCTCTCCCTGCATCACAGTTTGTCTTCATTCTAGGTCTTTCTCACATTCTTTCATTCTCTCTGTTGGCCTGCCTTTCTTTCTCAAGTCTCTGATCTATCGCTGCGAAAAACAAACTCTTTAGGCTCATGCTTCCTCTATTCTCAGCACTCCTTCTAAAAGATTAATGGGAGATTAATTATTCAGGTTATGCAGTGGAGGGGGGGCAGAGAAACTCAAGCTGAGAGTCAGGAGTCGTCGGTTATTTTTAAAAACTTAATTACTGGAACTCAGTATTATTAGACTGTGTCAAGTTTACACAAGACTGAAAGTGTGAGAAAGTAAAACCGATATTGATAAAAATGCAATAGAAATTAGCTGCACTGGATCTCTGAGGCAATTCACAGTGCCAAGAAAGGCCTCGGTGAGTGTGAGAAAACTAACACTTTCAGGAATCATTCTCTTTCATTAAGACTGATTGGTGATTTGGGAACCGCTTCAAATGCATGAGCTGATCTAATTACACATTATGACAAACTGTTTCTTAAAAAGTTTCCTGACACAAAACTTTCAATCACCAAATAATGTTCTTTTTAGCAACGTCATATGACCCCTTTAATAGAATGGGATTAAATACATAAAGGATATTTGTGTTTTTTAACATTTAATTATTGCAGGTTTGCATCATATTCTGTGTTGCATTATTTTTATTCATTTTGAGGAATACTGAATCTGTGTTGTTGTTTTTTTGTGAGTGAGATGAATTAATGCATATTCATATTTATTTTAGAACTACAGTAACATCTTCTGATTTCTCTCAACATGGGGACAGGAGAGCTGTCAATCAATAAATTGGGAAAAAAAAGTAACTTGCGTTACTTATTTGAAAAAGTAGTTGGCAGAGAAACTCACGCTGAGAGTCAGGAGGAGTCAGTTATTCTAAAAACTTAATTACTGGAACTCAGTCTTAACAGTCTGTGTCAAGTTTACACAAGACTGAAAGTGTGAGAAAGTAAAACCGATATTGTTGTAAATGCATTAGAAATTAGCTGCACTGGATCTCTGAGGCAATTCTCAGTGCCAAGAAAGGCCACTAACATTTTCCGGAATCGTTCGTTTTCATCAAGACTGATTGGTGATTTTGGAACCGCTTCTAATGCACGAGCTGATCTAATTACATATTATGACAGATATACTGCATCTTAAAATGTTTCCTACAACAGACACAAAACTTTACGTTCTGGAAGGGGTTTCTGGAGCGTGCATTCCAACTGTGGATGTTTCAGCGATGGTGTATGTGCTTTTGCGCATCTAACAAAGCAACCCTTCACTAGCTCACATCATTAAAGAGGTCGCACCGTTAGGGGAGGGTTGCCATGGTTACCTGCTCCACAGAGGCCTGAAGGTCTTCGTCCCGTGTGCATCCAGTCTCTCTTCATCCTCTGAAGGAGACGCAGTGCCGTCATTGAAACCTCATGGCTCTTATCTCCAAATTCCAGCATTTGCGCAAAGCGGGGGATATAAAGACACGGATCTGTAAGAAACAAAACTCTTAGGACTACAAAGCTAGATAGAGTAGATTTAGCCCTTCTTAAACACACGGTTGCATTTTCAGTTCAATAACGTTCGTAAAGTACTAATACGTTGGCTCATGACCACTGATGAGTGTTCAGTCAAAATGTTATTAGCTATGATAATGCAACAAATATTACCTTTATGCTCACAATTCTCATTAAATACTACATACAGAGAACCTCCATTATTAAGCTTTAGCAAACTGCTGGACTCTCAAACTATAAACATTTTAATGGTAAAAGAAACATTACAGGTAATAGAGGGAGCTCAATTTTTTGACAGTTTCCAAATAATATTTTCTAAAGGTGATGGCACTGTGTGAGAAATGTTAGGTTACTTGCGTAACCCCAGTTCTCTGATAACAGAAGTGAGGTATCTCACTACCAAACTGATGTTAGAAAGAGAACTCAAAAGATTTTCTGCTCAACAAAGCATCAGCAAATCTTCCATCTTATCCAATGATTCCCAATCAGGGATATGTGTAGCCCAGTGGGAACTTAATCAGGCTTCATGGGGGTGATTTTGAGTTGTTAAAAACTATAAAAAAAAGAAATGATGACATCAAAATTATTAGGGCTGTAAAGTTTTTTCTTTTATTAATATTTAAATAAATATAATCTTAGATTTTTATGGTAATTAGACTCTGGAGAGAGAGATTTTACTCAACTCTTCTTTTTTTTTTTTAAGATTCTTCCCATCAAATTCCTCAGTCATTCAACCAAACCATTATCAATCTAAATGCAGGGTTGTTGTTTTTTTTTAGAAAATGTGTCCTCCCATGCCAATGGGAATTGGGTATACATTTTTAGATGTAGGTCAGATGTTCAGATATCATATGTATCTGATATAAAAAGTGGCTCAAAACTGATGTGAAAAAACTTAATCTCATGTGTATTTTTGTGTTTATACATGTGCAACAATATCTGATTTGAGTCAGATGAGTAATTTTTTGTGCTAGTGTAAAAGCAGCTAGATTCAATAAACTGATTCAGTTTGAGGAGGCGCTACACTTTTGAAAAATAAAGATCCCAAAAGGGGGTTTTTATAGTGATACTACAAAAGAACCATTTTAGGTTTTCCAAAGAATCTTTTGGTGATCCAACCATTTTTTTCTTGTTTGGAAGAACATTAAAATCTAAGGATACGTTATTCCACTTTTTGTGCAATGGAAATATTCCATGGAAGTTAAAAGGTCTTATGAAACCATGCATACCAATAAAGAATCTTGTACCTGACTGGATATATTTTTTTCACCAACAATATTAAATGTTTTAGTTTGAACCTGAATAATTGTGTTGCATAAATACAGTAAAATATGAACTACACAAAGAAAAATACTACAGCAGTTAAGTGAATGATTGTAATAATGGTCATTTTAATAATGTTGCCTTATATTCAGCACAATAAAATCAATACATTTCTGGTTTAATTTTGACTAAGGGGTGCTTGAGCCTAAATGATGAGACTGTGGGGGTACACAAATCAAGAAAGGTTGGGAAACACTGATCAAATCCCCACTACATATGTTCACTATAAGCCGCTTAGATCCGTCTGTGCTGTCTGTGAGAAAAAGAACAGACCGGGGAAAAGAGAGAGAGAGAGAAGCTGCGTGAGGACTTTACTGGGAAAACGGAGAGCAGTCGTGCGCACTACAGTATTTCCACAAGTCCAGCCCTCGTCCGGTTTCAGACTCCATCACGACCGACCGTGAACCGGAGCAATAAAACTTTTGACATCGCTTTGAATCGAGCGCACTGTCTCGGCTGTGTAATGACAACAAACTAGCGCATAAAATACAGAATTTAAGGTAAGAACACGCACGATCTTTTCTCGTATTGTTTGCACTTGTAGACCAGTTGAAGTGTGAGGTAAACGTTACATTTTCAGAAGCTGGTTTGTAACAAATTGCAGCGCGCGGACTGGAATGTATGGATAGAGATAACGTTAGCTGTTACACGCGAAACATTTCCACCTCATTGCTTTAAATCAATACTAGTATTTAATAAAACCTTTGCCTGATATAGCATATAAATAATGGTTATGCATTTAGTTTAGGAGAAACATATTGTAGAACGAAACAAACGACGTGTACGGACGAACTTGGCATTTGATGTACAAAAATACCCCCACAAAGATCCCTACGTTGAGATTATTTATATTATAAACTTATCACATGCACGTGTATATATGAAGAATTAAAAATCCGCATCGCTGCATAGTCCACAGAGATTCATAAAGGTTATATTATCGCAGGGTTGCCAGATCCCGCGTGTAAAAACAGGCAATCTGATTTAGGGTAATGGATATTTTCGATAAATATATCCTATATAGATAAATAGTATGCATTGTTTAGGTATAGCCTATGCATATACTTACATATACATAATGTGAATAATCAAAAAAAAACAGCACATAACAATGTGAAAAAATCCAAGCAAATTGCTTATAATAAGCAGACATGGCAACACAGAATTTACAGGCGGGTTAGAGAGCTCTGGGAGAGACAACCCTCCACTCTTGACGTCAGACGAGAGAGAGAGAGCGCGCGAGAGAGAGAGCTCAAAATAAACTCAAACTTCATAATCATTCGGTGTGGCCACAGCAGAGGAAAGATCTGCTTGGCCGTTATAAGACTACAGACCCTATTTTTGTCAATATTTGTTGTGAGGTTTTTGAGTGATTTTAAAACGATTCGTTTTGGAGTTTTCGGTGTGGGATTAGAGAGGACGTGAGAAAAAGAGGATGGCATGTCTATGAAATATTCGCTGAAATCCGAATAAGTTATTTATGTGACCGTTTAGCGGAGCCGTTTTTATTTTTACACGGAAACAACGCAACATTATTTAGGAATACCACAGACCACGGTTATAACTGATAATTATTTTTTCTTTTTCTTATATTTCTTATATTTTGGCAAACTTTTTTTGTTCTGATGCCCGCTGCGCCTGAATGCAAGCTGTCCCATCATGGCCGGATCATGAAATGTGTTACTTTTTTACTTTTGCTCCCTGAAACGTTAAAGAAGTTGAAGCGGGCAAGCAAGCACCCCGGCAGGCTGTCTCTGTGCTATAACATCTTAACTCTTCCCCTGGAGAAAAGGATGGCAGCGGAACTGTACCCCGTGAACGACCACGCCACAGTGCAGAAGAACGGGACTGTGATGCTGAGTCTGCCAGAGAAGAGGAAGAGGAGCGTGGAGCCAGTTGCGCAGTCCACCGCGTCCATCGCCACCACACCGACCACAGAGCAAAACATCAACAACAACAACGTGGAGATTCCCAGCTGGCATTCCGCGCACCCGACTTTACGCGAAAGGCAAGGCATTAAATCAAGTGATACATAATGTTTGACATACTTAATATCTAATTTTCATAATTATATATATATATATATATACACACACACACTTATTTTTTAAATAACTTGTTCAGATATATTTTTCACTACAGTACAGTTCTTTAAGTCAAGTCATAATGAACATTAACAGATATTTAACATCTAAACATTTCTTAAATAATATTATATTACATATTTTTTTCTTTATTGTATTTATTAATTGTAATATCAAGACTAAATTTATTTATTTATTTTTACTTTACGCAGAAATGCACTAATGTTCAATAATGAACACATGGCAGACGTTCATTTCATGGTTGGTCCGCCCAGTGAATCGGAAAGGGTCCCGGCACACAAGGTGAGCCCACACACCTCACATTTTGGTTGTCTCCTGAATCGAACACACCTGATTCAAACCATCAGCTTATCAGTGGATCTGAAATAGGTGTCAGAAAAAGGAAACGCTTTGAAACTAGATGAAACACTGACGGATTGTCTCTTCCCCCTCTCTCAGTATGTGCTGGCAGTGGGGAGCTCTGTTTTCTGTGCCATGTTTTATGGGGATCTCGCAGAAGGGGACTCTGATATACATATTCCAGATGTGGAACCCGCTGCTTTTCTCACCCTGCTCAAGTAAGACTCACTCACTAATCACATCCTGGCATTAATAACAGGGCGACTCGGCTTTCATGCCAGGCAGCACAGATGGGTTCACAGAGGACCCGACAGTGATGTTTTGATTTAGGAGTCGCCCTCTTAATTCAGAGCTATTAGAGATCATTTATTGGATTGCGAATGCGAATGATGTACGTTTTTCCCTGGGAAAGTTGGAAGTCACTATTTAAAGCAGTAGTGATGCAATAAAAAAAGGAGCATGTTAAACAGATCAGCTTTTTATTTAGCGTTTTATTCTTTTCCTATGGGGCACCTGCAATTTACCTTAAACTCTCTATCTCCCTCTTTTTTATCAGATACATGTACAGTGATGAGATAGAGCTGGCGGCCGACACAGTACTGGCTACGCTTTACGCTGCCAAAAAATACCTGGTGTCTGCTCTGGCTCGCGCATGTGTGGGTTTCCTCGAGACAAGCCTGGAGGCGCGCAATGCGTGTGTGCTGCTATCTCAAAGTCGGCTGTTTGAGGAGCCGGAGCTCACTCAGAGGTGTTGGGAAGTGATCGACGCCCAGGCAGAGCTTGCGCTGCGCTCGGAAGGTTTAACTGAGATTGACTTGCCCACACTAGAACACATTTTACAAAGGGAAACTCTGAACATGAAGGAGGCGGTGGTTTTCCAGGCCGTTCTGGGATGGGCCGACGCAGAGTGTCGGAGACAAGGCCTGAGCCCCACTTCACAGAACCAGCGCTCCGTGCTGGGGAAGGCTTTGCACCTTGTGCGTCTGCCTTCAATGACACTACAGGAATTTGCAGATGGAGCTGCGCAGTCGAACATTTTAACCCTTGAGGAAACGCACAGCATCTTTCTCTGGTACACGGCGGCTACAAAACCTGTGCTGGGATTCCCAGTTGAGCCCAGAAAGGGGCTGACGCCGCAACGCTGTCACCGTTTCCAATCCTCTGCGTACCGAAGCAACCAGTGGCGCTATCGCGGACGCTGCGACAGTATCCAGTTCGCTGTGGACAAGCGCGTGTTTATCGCCGGACTTGGTCTGTATGGCTCCAGTGGAGGGAAGGCAGAATACAGCGTCAGAATTGAACTAAAGAGACAGGGAGTGCTTCTTGCACAATACTTGACCAAATTTGTGTCAGACGGTTCTAGCTCAACATTCCCCGTGTGGTTCGAGCACCCGGTACAAGTGGAGCAGGACGTGTTCTACACTGTTAGCGCTGTTCTAGATGGGAGCGAGCTGAGTTATTTTGGACAGGAAGGAATGACAGAAGTCCAGTGTGGGAAAGTCACCTTTCAGTTTCAGTGTTCCTCTGACAGCACTAACGGGACAGGGGTGCAGGGGGGACAGATTCCAGAGCTGATATTTTATGCGTGAAAACTTGGACTGATCCATTAATGAAGAGACAGCAGGGGGATTTTTCCTCTGGAATAAATGCCTTTACTCACAGTCACAACATAGCTGCAAGACATTTCTAGAAGAGGAGACTATCCCCTCTGATTCGATTTTTTTACGTCTCGCATATAATGGAATGCTGCCCAAACTTATTTATTTCTTTAAACATACTGTTTTAAAACATGTACTTTAATTTAAGCAGATTTTATTTCTAATTATTCATAATCTGCCTGTGTACAGTGAAACATGGGCAGTTTGCACTTGAAACTAGGCAGCTTTTCCTCGGTCTTGTTATTTAATGGTTATTTGTTGACAGCTTGATGCGGAGTAACCTAAAAAGGGTTTCAAGAGCCTGCAAAATCATGAAATGTTTGTTTCGATTCATCAAACAGTATTTTGTTTTCTTTTGTCTAATGCACAGTCATAAGACATATACTGTTTCACTCTGGGTAAAATATGACTTTTCAAAACTTTAAAAATGAAAAGTCTGTCATCATTTACTCATCCTTATGTCGTTCCAAACTTCATTGACTGAGTGAATTCTTAAAACACAAAAGACAATATTTCGAAGAATGTTTCAGCTGTTTTGCCCATATAATGAAAGTAAAGGGTTCAAAACGACATTGAAACCCACTGACTTTCATTGTATGGACAAAAAAAAAATTTTTGATCCAGAAACAAAAGAAAGTCAAATAAGTTATTTTACTTATAATTACATGAGGGCAAAAAATTATGTCTGAATTTTGCTTTGTATTGTTGATTGAGCAAAGCAACTGACCATCGCCATCAATCAAGTGTTCAATTCAGGTTAAAACATTTACACTGCAAGCAAAGCTTCACTTACAGTTGCACAGCACCCTCTGGGCATTAACAGCAGCACTACACAGACCAGCTCACATACTCACTACCAGTACAATTTGGATGAGCAGCAAAGCATCATGGGAAACTACAATGTCACTTATTTGCGCTTACCAATAGCTGGCGCGTTGATACATAGCTCTCTGGCTAAAACAAGGAAGGTTTTTCCCAAAACATACACATTCACCTAGGGCAATAGAGAAAGAAAGAGTCAGAAATGGACACAAATTTGTGGTCAAGAAAAAAATAATTACAAAGAAAGAGACAGTGGGAACATTTAACAGACAATGAGAGTAAGAGATATAAGATAAAGGGACATAACAGAGTGTATTTTAACAGATGCTGAAGGTTGCAGAGTTCATAGCTGTGGGGTTTGGATCCGTACCAGCATCATCACAGAGTCTTCACTTTCTCACAAACTATATCTGTGTCTTATCCTTAGAGGATGAACTACAATAACAAAAATATTTCATAAAATAAGCTTTAAATAACATATAACTCAATACTTATCTTCATGGACCACCTTAATAATTATAAAAAAAAAGATATCTATGAAGAACGACGCACATGCTCAAACACAGACACCCTATTTCTTCCATCTGGGCCCCATGGCATTAAAGAGGAATCTTTTTTGGTTGATGTCAGAGGTCATGACCACTGAAAAATAGGATGGCCCTCACACACTCCTGACCTGAGAGGGGCGGCGACAGCCTTATGCCTCAAAAGAGCTCCTCTGTCTGGGGAAGAGCAAAGGAATTTATGGGTCCTTTCTCTGGTAAAATTCCCTAATGACTCAAATACTGCAGTGGACAGGATCTGCGTGTTTAATAGGACAGCTGGGAGGGTAAAACTATAAAACGGACACACCAGCTGGAGGAAAATGGCTTTCGCACACTAACTGGGTTCAAACATCTGGGATTGCTAGTGAAAATGCATCTACTTTGCATTATGTTATTTTTAATACAAACTTATTCATTCTAAATTATACTAACATAAAAAGTTTGAGTGAAAAGCTGTAATTAAAAATTTACATGAACTTCAGAATTTTCAGAATTTTGTTTGGTCCCCTTTCACATGATTAATGTAACAAATTTGGGTAACATTTTAATATAGGGACCAATTCTTACTATTAACTAGTTGTTTATTATCATGCCTATTAATAACATATTGGCTGTTTATTAGTACTTATAAAGCACATATTCTGCATGACCATATTCTACATCCCTAATCCTACCCAATACCTAAACTTAACAACTACCCTACTAACTATTAATAATCAGAAAATTAGGACTTTATTGAGGCAAAAGTCATAGTTAATTGTTTGTTAATAGCGAGAATTGGACCTTAAAATAAAGTGTGACCCAATTTTGCTTTTATTTGACCTAAAACAGTGCATAACCTTCAAAGAAAATGTATTTGTCATTTAATTTATTTTGACAATATTATGTAAATATATATATATATATATATAAATGCTGGACTTACTTGCAGGAGGTCACTCAAGTCCAGCAGCATGTCTGAGAAAGTGCATTAAAGAAATCATACAGAATGGAATTTGACAGACAGTTTTATCCAAAGGCCCTTACAGTGCATTCAAGATATATAATTTTCAAATGCATGTATTTTCATCGAACCCGTGACCTTTACTATTTAGTCTAATACTCTAGGTTTTGCGCAATAATGACCGAAGAGGAGGTTATATCTATCTATCTCTATCGCTCTCTCTCTCTCTCTCTCTATATATATATACACTGTATATATATATATTACAAGACACAGAGACAGACAGGAAACAAACAGAGGGATTTTGGTCAGATTTGGTCTCTGCTTGACATTTTCCCTCACTGAGTAAAGCTCCACTGAACCACCACCCCGTGAACCCTGGAATTCCCCGTCTCCCAGCAACCGAGTACTCTGTGTCCATGGAGACCAGAACACCTGTTCAATCAAGACAAAGTGTATTAAAACATCCCATTAAAAACGTCATTGTGGGATCTTCAGTCACCATGGCAGCAATAAGAGATAATCCTAAATTGCAGGATTATGGATGGCCCTGTTAAATTCATGATCATTTTTTTAGGATTTGACATTTCCAGGGAGAAATCTCACATATAGCAAAAGTAGCTAAAACCAACTAATGTTTTCTCTAATCACTTTACAGATAACATTTTACAGAATTTACAGTGTTTAGGTGTCAACATAAAATTACAGATACTGTAAAATACAAAATAATATAAAAATAAGTCAAGTATAAAAAAATTAGTTAAGGATAAAATGGGAAAACAGCTACAATAATCTACAAACTCAGTCGGATTGGTGTTTTAAAGCTAACCTGAGAGCAAGAAACCATTTCAGAGGCTGACATTTGGAAAATAATTCTAGTTGTTTGGCTAAATTTACCCTTTCCAGTGGAGATTGAGACCAACAATACCTCTCTCTCTCTCTCACACACACACACACACACACTCACACACACCCCTCATCCTCCTGGGCAGAAAGTGAAAGCTTTCTCATGAGTTCTTATGTAACCCTACCAGACGTCTGACTGAACACGTACGTTACGTAATCTCAGAGAGACGGAAAGATACACGCTGTCAGCTTCTGTTGCCTCTATTTATGCATTTTTGGACAAGTGAAAGCGAGCAGCATCGTCCCTGAAAAACCAAATGGACACATATGTGAGTGCCATTTTTAGACTGTAGAAGGCATATGAAAGCTGAATAAAATCACCTCATACTCAAGTGTTTTCACATGTAGAGTTTATGTAACAGAATAAACTGGGCAAATTAAACATCCATCCATCCGTAAACATGTCAACGTTATTGATTGCACCTCATGCTGGTGGACTGAACGTTTTGAGTAGGTTACCACTAGAAAGACAACACACTCATTCCCACTTTACATTAAAAGTAAAATGAATCCATAAAGCTTTTATTTAGATCTATTTGCTCATTTTTATTGACCGGAAATGATCATGATCCGGATCTGAACTTGCGCAGCATGAGGCAAATTGCTGGAGGGTGTGCACTTACTGCCAGGCTTTGTCTCCGACCCCTACAAGATTATTAAAAACAACTCATACTATAATAAACTAAAGCAGGGTGTTCCAGTCAAGTTTTTTTTTGTGTAATGCAGTCCTAATGCAGTCTCCTGAGAGACACACCCTGCCTTATTTCCTGCCTCACTTTGAACGCACATAAACACCCTGAAAAAGCCAACTCTAATACAAGCGAGATCCCGTCTCAGACACCAGATGAGGTCTTCATGCAGCGTAGGCTAAACAGGAAGCTGATTATTTTATACACATAACACACTAAAGATAACAACCTGTGTTAGACTCCGACTCAGTGAGTCAGAGTGAGAGTGTAGGATGATTATTACAAAAATAATCATGAGTGTTCACACACAGGAGAACCAAGGCTATATGACTAAGCATCAGACGCTGTGAGAGTTTGTGTGCAGTGTGGAATGCAGACAGATGTACGTGAGGAGACCAAATCAAGACGACTGACTAACACCATTGACTATCAGCTCCCACGGTGGACCCCTCTTGCTCAACCTCTCTTCTTCCGTCCCGCTTCGTTTTCTTTCTGTGAAACGCAATCGGAGTCACTTTATTTCTTCTTATTCCATTCTTCTGCAGTCTCTACATCACAATTATGTAAATTAGGAGCTGTGAACTCCACTAAGAAAGATGGTAAATGAAGAGTATAGTGTACAAACTATGCAGAGCAATACTGGAATACTCTTTACTAAATACTACACAGTATACACTGTGTATAATGAATACTACTACAAATAGTATGCATAAGATTAAGCATTATACACTTACAAATGTTTCAAAAAGTAGTATACTACACTGTTATCACATTACTATCATTGTGAAAGTAAAAATGTTATTTTTTGTAGTCCACTAAAATAAAAACACCAGTATCTACCTCCATTTCATTTATCATACTGGAAATAGGTGGTCAAGACAAGCACATTGCATTGTGGGATACAGTATTTTATGCAGTGTGCTCTGTTGTAACCTAAGCAATTACCAAATGTACTAGGTTGTCTGGGTATCTGTATACAGTGCACAGTACACATATTACAACTTTAGGGATAGTAAAAGTAGCATGTTAAGGTGAGGTCACATCAGCGAAATTTCTACAAAAATGTATGAATTTAAAAAAGGACCACCACACTACTTGATCAACAAAGGGTTAAATTGAGATTTGTTAGGCTAGCCCTCCTAGTGGCCATAAAATGTATAACTTTGAGATGGAAGGATTCTAAACCACCTTCTACCTCTATGTGGATTAAAGAAGTATCATCTTATATACCTTTGGGAAAAATTCCGTTTCGCTTGAAAAGACGTCAAGATTTGTTTGTCAAATACTAGGGTAGTTTCCTTTCTTATTTGGGCATAACAGGACAGAATGACTAGATATCATCTTATTTTCTCTGTTTTCCTGTTTAATTTTATTTACGGTTTATTTGTGGCACTATGGGTTGGAGGTCTGGGGTATGTTATAGGGCAGTGTATATGGGAATTATATATTTAGATTCTGTATCTTGTATGTTGTGTTTAACTTCGAAAAACCCAATAAACAATGTTAAAAAAAAGAATTTAAAAAAGGACAAATGGTCCTTTGTCTACAGGCAATTTTGTAGCAATATATGCAGCACATCTCACACAGAAGACACTTTCAAACCAAGCAGCTTTCTGTTGGTCAATGCAGCGAACTGAATGGCCAATTTGAACACGTTGTAATATCTGTTTGGGGAAAACCTTTACCTCACACAAAATTCCTAACCTCATTGATTCCAATTGAAATGGCCCACTATAGTATGTTTTTGTGAACTTAGCCATAATATCTTAGAAACTACCAGACAAAACATAGGAGTGCCATCTTAAATCCCACTGGCCAAATGCTCAAAGACTGACAGAAGGATAACAGGTTGTGGAAACGTCAAAATAAAGTTGTGTTTACGTAGCCTGTGACTTGTAACATTATGGTGGGATTGGGAACAGCTCTAAACTGTAGCAACCACCTTCCCATCATAAACTTGCACCCTGACCTAGAGCAAAATCAGATTGACACAAACTCTGATGCATCACATTATTTGAATATTTAATCATATACCACCATTCACCCTCAATAGCAGACACTTTCCTTTCTCTCTAAAAGCTTCCATCACCTCATGGCCAAAAGGATACGAGGTGTTCCCTCCGTTCGGCAGACGAGGTAGAGACAGGCGGCGATGACATGGGATGATTTGCGCCCTCTGGTCAGATGCTTGCAGAGGGCCATCTTGTAAAAGTTGAAGGCAGTGTCCAGACAGTGCTGATTCATTTGAAGCTGATGACCAAGATGGTTTATCTGTCGCTTAGCTGAATGAAACACAACCAAAAGATCACAGTCAGGTATTTTGACAGCATATTTACAGCAGGTTTAGTTACTTTAGAAGTTAACAGAGGAAACACACAATAGTAAAAGCCCCTGGTTTGGCCTTCTGGGGATTGAACAAAGAATCTTTGGGTTACCAGTTTTTCCTAAGCAAACATGAAACCGAAGTAGCAACAGATCTTTTCTTCCATATTTCGAAGTATGTATATTCAAGTGTAACAGATTAGCAGAAAAAAACTATAGGGTGGGGAAATACATTTTCACTATGTTAAAGGAATAAAATGTTGTATAAATCAGGAGAATGACATATGAACAAACCCTCTGTAAACCCTTAAGGATATGGAAATGAATAAAACTGGTGTTACTAAAGAGGAAAATTCTGTCTCAGTGCAGGAGAAACCAATACATTTTAGATACGTAAAATGTGATAAACGCTTAAATATCTATTTTGGATGGTTTTTTCCCCACTAGTCTAAAAGACTAATATCCAGTGTTGGGGGTAACGCATTACAAGTAACGTGAGTTACGTAATCAGATTACTTTTTTCAAGTAACTAGTAAAGTAACGCTTTACTTTTTAATTTACAAGAGAATATCTGAGTTACTTTTTCAAATAAGTAACGCAAGTTACTTTTTTTTCCAATTTATTGATTGACAGCTCTCCTGTCCCCATGTTGAGAGAAATCAGAAGATGTTACTGTAGTTCTAAAATAAATATGAATATGCATTAATTCATCTCACTCACAAAAAAACAACAACACAGATTCAGTATTCCTCAAAATGAATAAAAAAAATGCAACTCAGAATATAACGCAAACCTGCAATAATTAAATGTTAAACAACACAAATATCATTTATATATTTAATCCCATTATATTAACCAATGTCTTTGCTTCTGACCTCCGATGATCCAGTTCAACCGTACTAATAAGCAAAAATTACTCTAGACAAACATTTGAGTGTCTTTTTTTATTGCTGAAGTGTGTTGAAATGTCTTCTTCTGCATTCTACTGTACGGAAGTAAATGTACTTTCCCTTCAGCCTGAGGCTTATTCATTTCACTTTTGCTGTGAAAAGGCTTTTATATTTGCCAAAAATATAACTTTTTTATTTTAAAAACAAACAAGCAAGCCCTGTCCAGATTTAAAAAGTAACGCAAAAATAACGTAACGCATTACTTTCCATAAAAAGTAACTAAGTAACGTAATTAGTTACTTTTTTATGGAGTAATGCAAAATTGTAATGCATTACTTTTAAAAGTAACTTTCCCCAACACTGCTAATATCTATCATTCAATGATGTATGATAGATGATATCATCTATCATACAGTTTTGCCTGTAGTGCCTTGCTTTAGGATAAATCAAAATGAAACCTGCATAGATACTTCTTTCACAATAAGATTTTAACACACATTTAGAAAGCAGACAAGGTGAAATCTAGTATAAATATGGTGAAGTAATTTTTGTGTGATATTTTCCTATTCCAGCTGCAGTGGACTACAAGTAATGTTTTTAAAGTGCCTCTACTATTTTTAAAGTTAACACCAAAAACGAATAGTTTAACCATAATCAAAATACTTACAGCAATTATGTGTACTTTGTAACTTCCACAAAGTTACTACAAAATATAGGTTTATTTCGATTCTGTATGAGCACCTGCTGTGGATGTGCTGTTTGAGAACAGTTATGAGTCTTTTAGAGTGGGAGGAGAGCATCTTCAATCTGAAAGCAGGTCTGTTTATACAGACTCAAGATCTCACAGAGCATCTTTTGTTCTCTCACCACACACAGATAGTATAAATCTCGATGCAGACATGAGGCCATTAATCGCACGTGTACATTCCCACACACAGATACAAATAAAGTGGCCTCTGCAATTCCCTCCCAGCACACACACAGACCATACGGTTGTCTGACCAAACTGATTCATCGATTAATACACAAAAGCACATAAACGCACCACACCTTCTGACTTCTCAGGCTTCTTTGAAAAACAACTATTACCATCTGGCTGAAATGAACCTCTCACACTTAACTTGAAACCACTTTACACAAGACTACAGTTTCCAAAGAATCCCCCTTTCTTAAAAACAAAGAACGCATATACTTAAACATCTTGCTCAATCCAATCGTGTTGTTCAATGGAATGGAACATTATACTGACATATCTAAAACACACAATACTGTACAAGTTGTAAATTGTCAGTGACACATAGTAATGTCTCATATTCACAGGAAATCAGTTTTGAAATGCTTTGGCAAATTTAGGAACTACATATTACAAAAAAAAAAACAGTTTATACCTTTAAATAAAGACAACATAGACTTTACAATGATACCGATATGTCAAAGAATAAATTAACATCTATAGCTCTGAATGAAGGAATCGAGACAAAGCGCTTCAAATATTTAGATTACAAACTCTATGAGAAATGAATGAAAGTCATGTAAAGGGTATAGAGATACCTTAAGCATGTCACAAAATCGAAAAGGTTAGTTAAAAAGTTAACCCCTAAGAAATTTGGGATCACTATAATTTTTTTTTCAGAAAGACATTAATACTTTTATTCAGCATGGACAGATTAAAATGCAGAAAAAAGTGGCAGTAAAGTCATTTATAATGTTTAGCAAATTATTTATATTTTAAATAAACACTACAGTTGAACTTTCTATTAATTAAAGAATCTTAAAACATTTTTCACGTCTTGCACAAAAACTTCAAGCAGTTGTTTTTAACATTGATAAGAATAAATGTTTTTGGAGCACCAAATCAGCATATTAAAATGATTTCTGAGGGATCATTTGACACTGAAGACTGGAGTAATGGCAGCTGAAAATTCGGCGTTGTCATCACATGGAAAACAGATATTTTAAATTGTTATTATTTTATGTCTAATCAAATAAATGTTGCTTTGGTCTGCATGGGAAACTTGCAACAACAAAAAAAAAACCTTTCCAAACTTTTGAATAGTAGTGTCTATACTTTCTGACTGTCACGAAGGGTAAATAAGGGCTAGAAGAATGGCATATACTGTACATGTACGCTCACCATTCTGCAGAGTGGCAGCTCTGGACTCCCTCCCAACCCCAGTGTGGAAGTTTCCTCCCAATGATGGCACATTTCCAGATGCTACAACAAAGCAAAAAAATAAAATATATTAGTAATACTAATATTATGAGGACAGGAACACACATATTTCATAACCAAGCTGTATACTTATTCTTTCGGTTTCCTTTTTTATTTGTCGTAATGTATTTTTTCTTTGTTTTTAATATTTTTGTTATTAAATACACTTTGCATTACCATTGTGCAAATAAACCTGCCTTGTCTAGTACTCTTCAGCTTACCCAATACTTCTAAAGAATAATCTTAGAAGAAAGGTAAAAACAACACCCATATTTAAATCTAATATTAGCCAAATGTAGATGAGCTGTTGAAAATAAGCTTTTACTATCAAAGTCTTCATTGCAGGACATTATTTTATAAAAAACTTGACAGCCACCTGCTGTTTGAAGATGGTACTGCCGTACAAAACAAAAACCCTTATCCCATTTAAATTTTTTTAGAGGAAATATCTGTATGTATTTTTCAATTTTATTAATTCGATTATAAACCATTTTCCCCCATTTGATTTATCACAGCAGGTAATTAAAAAAATATGCTATGTACAGAATTATCAAAACTCTAGGAAGGTTATTAAATTTAGAAAAGATTATTCAAATGTAGAAATTTTTGTCCAAGACTAGAAGTTTCTTGAACGTTTCATAAAAGTATAAGCAGATTGTAATAGCATAAAATAACCCTTATCCCATTTAAATTTTTTTAGAGGAAATATCTGTATGTATTTTTCAATTTTATTAATTCGATTATAAACCATTTTCCCCCATTTGATTTATCACAGCAGGTAATTAAAAAAAATATGCTATGTACAGAATTATCAAAACTCTAGGAAGGTTATTAAATTTAGAAAAAAATATTCAAATGTAGAAATTTTTGTCCAAGACTAGAAGTTTCTTGAACGTTTCATAAAAGTATAAGCAGATTGTAATAGCATAAAATATCTCACAGGCTGATAGTCGACTATTACAGATAATTTAGGAGATCATTTACAACTTAAGAGAACAGTTTGCAGTCAAGGTTCCTAACAGCAACCCTTTCTAACTGAGGCCTCCATTTGAACATTTCAGACAATAACTCTGCAAACACTTTCCTATGTAATTCCTTATGTTAAAGAGACTGAGACAAACAGACAGACAAATAATAATACAAGACGTAACCATATAGTTTTATTTGGTCTGCCCCTCATTCTATGTACATAGAACACATATTCAGTTTCTCGCATTGATTATTCCTTCATTTATTTATTAAAACAAATTAAATACACTGCAAAATTGGCCTTGTTTGGAGTAGATGAACCATCACTCACAGTCACCAGCAACAAACTGGCCAACGGCGGACGATCCTCCTCCACTGTTCTCCACGAAGGTTACCTCAGAAACAATGATGTTGTCCTCCAGCACAGAGCCGCAGCCCATGCACACAGCATCACCCCGGGCCTGGTCCACATCAATGTCCGTCCCCCCACAGTTCTTACACTTCCTCATGGTCACCACCAATCAGCACACTGGGAATGATCTTTACATGCATGTAAAAACACATGAGAGAACACAGAATGAATCCTAGGTAGAGCTACATCTAAGGTGAACGGCATCAATGGCAAACTGAGAAAGCACTATTATGGATAGAGGACTCGGAAGCAGTGATTTGAAGTTAAAAACATCTTAATAATGTATTTGTTTATTACAAACATGTGATGGACTAGAGTCATGTGTATTGTGATGTGTTTATCAGCTGTTTGGAATTTCATTCTTATGGCACCCATTCACTGCAGAGGATCCATTGGTGAGAAAGTGATGCAATGCAAAATTTTTCCAAATCTGTTCAAAATTTCTTCAAACTCATCCACATCTTGGATGGCCTGAGGGTGAGTAAATTTCCAGCAAATTTTCATTTTTGGGTGAACTACGCCTTTAACAACAGTTATTTTATTCTGTTCGACAGTGCTAGCTTTAAAGGGTTAATTCACCCAAAAATAAAAATTCTGTCATTTCGCTAGTAATAAGTAATTAATGACAGAATTTTCATTTTTGGGTGAACTATCCCTTTAAACAAAAATAAACACCAAATCACTTTTTTTATTATCAATTTGGTAACACTTCACAATAAGGTTTCTTTTTCTTAATATTAGTTGACTACATTAGTTAACATGAACCAACAATGAACAATACCTCTGCAGCATTTAGTAATGTTAATTTCTACATTTACTAATAGATATTTTGAAATCAAAACTTTTTGTTAACATTAGTAAATACACTGTGAACTACCATGAACAAACAATGAACTGTTCTCTTAAAAATAACAATAGTTAATAAATTCTGTAAAAATATATTGCTCATTGTTAGTACATATTAACATACCGCATTATTTAAAGTTAACAAATCAAACCTTATTGTAAAGTGTTACCATTATTTTAAATGTCTGAACATCTCACTTTATTAATGTGTAGAATAAAAGGCATGTTGTCAATTTACTACAAGCTAAACATACTTCACACACACAGTCCTGGGGGGGAAAAGGGCCAAGCCCAAAACGGCTACACTTACTTTTAAGAATTAAGCAAATGCACTCCTTAAAAAGCCATTGCTGTCTCAGAAAAACTTCAAGGACAGTGATTCAGCAAATTTGTGTGGAGTGATGAATCGTGATAGAAAGGGATATGCACCAGAGCGGTGTCTTTGAAGATCTGGTGAGAAATACAAAAATGAATACATCTCTACCACAGTGAAGCATGGAGGAAGATGTGTCATTATATATGTAGCTGCTGGTAAAAGCAGCAAAGCAACGCCGCTATGAGGACACAAAGCGAACTGCGCCTCTAACAAGCCCATGTTGCATTCTGACACACTCGGTACCGATTTAAACGCACAGGACCCAAAATCAGACATATCAGAACCTCTAAAATTTAGAGTCTACATGAACACCATCATTGAGAGTCAAAGTAATCACTGTCATGCAATCATCAACGTGGCAATCGTCTACTTGACAAGCAAATCTGAATTCCCCAAAATCTGTTGAATAACTTTACCGATCTGTGCAGATGTCGACTAGTTTATTCAGTGAGGTTAAAAAGAAGTAACGTTAGCCTACGTCGAACAGTTGGAAGACAACCAGGCGCAGGCTTCACCTGTCTGATCCAGAGAGCCCGTAAAAGGCCTTTCAGTTCCTGTCTGTCGAGGTAACAAATGTGTATTCTTGCTTCTCAGTCGTTTTGCAGACTGTATCACTGATTTATTAATCAAAAGCCGTGATATATTTCTCTACGTGACAAGCCGGTAAAAACACAGCCACATGTTTCCAGTCAGCTTGCGATACGGCTCATACCAATGTGAGTGCGGAGGGGGGTAACAATATTGCTCGCCTACATTATAATATACAGTAAGAGACAATGACACCATATTATAAACGCTACCGTTTCTTTTAAACCAGTTGTAACGCAGAATATGTCTCTGCAGCATTTAGTAATGTTAATTTCTACATTTACTAATAGATATTTTGAAATCAAAACTTTTTGTTAACATTAGTAAATACACTGTGAACTACCATGAACAAACAATGAACTGTTCTCTTAAAAATAACAATAGTTAATAAATTCTGTAAAAATATATTGCTCATTGTTAGTACATATTAACATACCGCATTATTTAAAGTTAACAAATCAAACCTTATTGTAAAGTGTTACCATTATTTTAAATGTCTGAACATCTCACTTTATTAATGTGTAGAATAAAAGGCATGTTGTCAATTTACTACAAGCTAAACATACTTCACACACACAGTCCTGGGGGGGAAAAGGGCCAAGCCCAAAACGGCTACACTTACTTTTAAGAATTAAGCAAATGCACTCCTTAAAAAGCCATTGCTGTCTCAGAAAAACTTCAAGGACAGTGATTCAGCAAATTTGTGTGGAGTGATGAATCGTGATAGAAAGGGATATGCACCAGAGCGGTGTCTTTGAAGATCTGGTGAGAAATACAAAAATGAATACATCTCTACCACAGTGAAGCATGGAGGAAGATGTGTCATTATATATGTAGCTGCTGGTAAAAGCAGCAAAGCAACGCCGCTATGAGGACACAAAGCGAACTGCGCCTCTAACAAGCCCATGTTGCATTCTGACACACTCGGTACCGATTTAAACGCACAGGACCCAAAATCAGACATATCAGAACCTCTAAAATTTAGAGTCTACATGAACACCATCATTGAGAGTCAAAGTAATCACTGTCATGCAATCATCAACGTGGCAATCGTCTACTTGACAAGCAAATCTGAATTCCCCAAAATCTGTTGAATAACTTTACCGATCTGTGCAGATGTCGACTAGTTTATTCAGTGAGGTTAAAAAGAAGTAACGTTAGCCTACGTCGAACAGTTGGAAGACAACCAGGCGCAGGCTTCACCTGTCTGATCCAGAGAGCCCGTAAAAGGCCTTTCAGTTCCTGTCTGTCGAGGTAACAAATGTGTATTCTTGCTTCTCAGTCGTTTTGCAGACTGTATCACTGATTTATTAATCAAAAGCCGTAATATATTTCTCTACGTGACAAGCCGGTAAAAACACAGCCACATGTTTCCAGTCAGCGTGCGATACGGCTCATACCAATGTGAGTGCGGAGGGGGGTAACAATATTGCTCGCCTCCATTATAATATACAGTAAGAGACAATGACACCATATTATAAACGCTACCGTTTCTTTTAAATCAGTTGTAACGCAGAATATGTAAATATAAAAGTATACGACGCAAAATATACAAAAGAGTAGTAATTCATTGCTAGTTTTCCCTGTGTGATGACATGTTCGGAAACGCACTGATCGTGGTCACACTGACGTAACATGTAGACGTAGCTAGCAACTTTGTGTTCAATAGAATTCAGCAAGAAGATCCATCATGTGCATATTTCAACATTAAAATGTAATAATTAGGACTATATAGTAGGCTATGGAATCGGATGGATGTATGTAGTTGTTATCAAAATTATTCAACCCCCAGAGACTGCAGTAGTTTACAAATACAAGCTTTTCTGAAGACCCAGGACTTTATAAAAAAAATTGCATAACACTTTACTGGCATATTCAAAGAAATAATGTCAATATATAATGGAATATTTTTGAGTTATAAGATTCTTTAATAATACAGCTATATCATAATTATTCAACTCCTATTCAACATTGCTGTTTTTTTAGTCACTTATTTGTATGTTGGGGAACAAAACTGCAGTCTTAAAACACAATTAAACATTTAGAAAATCTATTAGAAAATAGAATTAGCTTGAGCTGTTACACATACATACTGAAGTTGAGTAGCAAATATGAAAAGTTAACAGAGCTCTCACAAAAGCTATAGAGAAGCTGAAGTGAAGAAATGGTTTTATTACATTAGTTTTTACTTTTCTTTATTAGTTTTATTAGGCTACATGAAGATTTCCAAGTCATTAAAATTCCTAGAGACACAGCTGGTAGCCTTATTCCTTAGCTTAAAATGCGTTGTACCAAAAAAAACATTTGAGGGTGTTGAAGAAAAAGCACAATATCATAACATTTTTGATCACAGCAACTGAGGAAAACATGAACTTGAAAAGATGGACTTCAAAGATGACCCGATGAAAGGAGGAAAAACATTTCAATGCAGAGTATAAGAAGAACACAAGGCAAGTAAGGCCTTCGTGTTGGGGCATCTTGCTGAATGCCTCTTGACCAAGAAAACATAAAAGGCCGACTTGAACATGCTAAAATTCATTTGGATAGACCTGTGTAGTTTTGGACGAATGTTTTATGGAGTGATGTGACACAACTAGAACTTTTTGGACCCATGAATCAGCGTATGTCTGGTCCAAAAAATGTGAGCATGAAGCATGAGCAGAAGAACACCATCTCCGTCTTGTTATGGGGGTGTTTTACTGTTGCAGGATGTGGAAATCATGACTGTATGAAAGACATGTAATAGGCCATTTTGGCAAGAATTGTGATGCCTTTGGTGCAAAGACTGAAGATGATGATCAATGGACTTTCCTGCAGGACAATCATCCCAAAGTATACATCCAAATCTGCTTATGCTTGGTTCAGGGATCGTTCGTAGAATCTTCTTGAGTGGCCTGTTAAGTCTCCAGATTTAATTCTCATTGAAAATATTTTGTTGAATTTGAAGAAAGCAGTGGCAATGTGAAAGCCAAAGATTATCAGTGATCTGAAAGCTTTTCAGGCGAGGAATGGGCCAAGATTGCAGCAGAGAGCTGACAGAAGCTTCTAAGCACCCCCAAGCAGTGTTTATTGGTGGTTTTAAACAATAAAAGACTCTACACCAATTTTGACTTTTGGGAGTTGAATAATTTTGAACATGAATGTTTAGAGCCAATGTGATTTTTTTCATTATACATCAACTTTACATTCTTAGAATTACTCAAATGTGTATTGATAAACTTTCTCTAATAGTGTTGAATTGTTTTCATAAAATTGTTCTCTGCAAAATGTCTTGCAGGTCAAGGGGGTTGAATCATTTTAATTGCAATTGTGTGTGTGTGTGTGTGTGTGTGTGTGTGTGTGTGTGTGTGTGTATATATATATATATATATATATATGCAGGACGCTCTTTGTCCACTTGTGGAGTGAATCGTTAATATGTGTATAGCCTATGCATGATTTTAGTACTTCTAACGTTATTTTTAAGTTGTAATTGGACAGAAGTGTCTACAAAATGAATAGCCTACATGTCAGTCAGTGCAAATGGCAAATTTCCATTACTGTGTTTTACAGATGTCTTTAATCTGCATTCTGAATTGTTGGAGTCTGAAGTCTCTGAGGAATAATTGTCAGTCAAGTATAAGTCTCTTCATTATTTGCATAAAATTTAATTTATACAAAAGCTTAAGATTTAATTCTTATCAAAACTTCTGTTTAAGCTTGCCGTTGTAAATAGTGACTACTCAAAAGCATTCATCTTAGTAGTGCTCTTTGTACTTTTGATCAGGTTGGGCAACGTATCTTGGTGTGGGTTGTCCTAACTTGAAAGGAATGGAAGCGGGACAGTCAAGTACAGTCCTTGTTTACTTGCGGAGCACACAGAAACTGTACGTGTACTTTAGCTTCTGACCATGGCTTTATTACAGATCACGTAAATCATGAAGAATAAGATTGAGGAAGATTGATGAATAAGTTTTATTTCTGACTGACATGTGATCATCAACGCTGCACTTGAACTGCTTCGTTATTTAAACCATGTTCCTGAACTCCAAGCGACAATGTTTTGGCTCCTTTTGTGCATTTTGGATGTTCTTGTGGGTAAGACTTACATTTAATGAAAAGAAATCGAATGGCATTATAATATACAGCACTGTCATTGTGTCATACTTGTATGCATACCTTGGAAATCAATTAGGTTACACTAACTTGTAAAAAAAAACAAAAAAACATTTAGAGACACAGAGGCTTTTTTATGTTGGAAATTCACCACAACCGTGGGATATTTTTAATTTTAAACATAATTAAAGAAATGTAAAAAAGTGAGAAATCAGATTTATTCAATGAATATTGGGATATTTCCTGTTTTCTTTTTGTTTTCATAGTTTTAACATAATAATATAAATTTTTTAGTTAAAGATTGAATATAAGATTTAATGAAAAGAAATCACAAAGCATTATAATAAACACTTCTGATTTGATACAACCTTGGTAATATACAGTGTCATACTTTTAAATTTGAAGGTTTGTTATACTAGACTGACTTGATCTCTTGAACTTTAATTGAGCTTTTTTCCTTTACAATTTAAGGTCGTACTATAAAATGAAATAAAATATGCATTTTAAACAACATTATCAGGAAAGCACCTCAAATGCATGCCAATTGGTTGCTGAGTCGTTGTTGATACAACACTGCTGAGAGATGTCATGATTCAAAATTATGACATCTAGCTACAAAAAAACATCTTTCTAAAATATTTTTTCAAGCAATATTTAAAGATGAAATACTATTTCATAATATTATAGATGTTTTACCAGTGAATGGTTACTTTTAGGGCTCTTAAAAGTGTTTTGTTTTTGCTTTTACATTTACATTTAATAATTTAGCAGACGCTTTTATCCAAAGCGACTTACAAATGAGAACAATAGAAGCAATCAGACCAACAAGAGAACAACAGTATACAAGTGCCATGACAAGTCTCAGTTAGTCTAGCACAGTACACGTAGCTAGGTTTTTTTTTATTTATTTTTGTTATTAAATAATAGAATGGAATAGAATAGGTAAGTCAGCTCTTTTACATCAGCTCAGGATTGTTTAGTAGTGAAGGGCTTGTGATTGTGCAGATTTTTGTGGTACAATTGCTGTTTAGTGTTGGTGTTTTAATGGTAGACCAAAGTATGAAGAAAACAAAAATTTCTTATGATATGATGACACCTTAGAAGTGTAAATTTTTGGAGTGCCCAGGGGTGTTTCTTCAAGCAACTCTTAAATTGTTCTCACTGTCTCTTTCCAGCCTCATTTGAGGTGACTGTCCCTAATAAACATCTGCTGGCAATCCGAGGTCGTCCAGCTGTACTTGGCTGTGAGTTCACACCTGATCCTGACCTCTCCAACTTGGTTGTTACCTGGCAACGACAGGAGGATGCACGGGTTGTCCACAGTTTCTATTATCAACAGGACCAATTGGACCGACAGAGTCCAGAATACCACAATCGGACCTCATTGTATGTTTTAGAGCTTCATAAAGGAAATGCCTCTCTAAGAATTGCAGCAGTTAGACCCAAGGATGCAGGCTGGTACATGTGCATAGTGAGCAACGCAAAGGGAACAGGAAGAGCCTTGATGGAAGTAACCTATGAAGGTATGCATGCATACAGGGGCGTAGATTACGCGGGGGACGTGTCCCCCCCCACTTTTAATATTACGTAAATTCCTCCCCTGCACTTTTTCGGGCAAGTGTGTTCGCATAGAAGTTTTCAAGAGCCGGTGGGAATAAATATAGATTTAAATTCAAAGAGACAGGATAGTCTGTGCATGATCTGATGTTTTATTCGGACCCAGAATAAGGCGAGATGATATTGCTGTATGAAAACAGTTGTTTTCACAGAAAAACAGAAACGTTTGGGAACATGAAGACATTAAACATACGATTGCGACAATATATGGTTTATTTGTGTTTGTCCAGTCATCTCCAGGTAATAAATAAAGTATATCAATGCAGTGCTAACTGACATAGCATTTATTACAGTATTGAAACTATTCTGCCTTATTATGTGATAAAAAAGTGTTTGTAGTATATAAACAAATCATTATTATTGGTTATTGTCCAGCAGTTATCTGATTTCTAAGCCAATTAAAAGCTGATCGAAAAAAGCTGGTAGAAATGAGAGAAAAATTAAAGTTGACTATAGGCAGGCACAAATTTGCATATATGGGTTCCTTTCTAAACACGAGCGCTGTGTGTTTGTATGTGCTTCATAACCGTGCACCCCAGGGGGCCCGTTGTAATAGCCTGCACTGGGGCCCGTCATTACTAAATTACGCCACTGCTGGAGACAATATGTTGTAGTATACAATGTGCCCAGGAGTTCCCAGCTTCATTTTCAGTCACCAAATATAATCTATAAAATAAATATGTTTGGTATTTTTATTGATCATACCTTAGTTTACAGAAATGGCAGCTAAAAGTCTCTTTTTTTTTGTTATTTGAAAAGTAATCCCAGTGATTAATGTAGGATTTGGAACCAAGAACCAGTTCCATTTCTATAAATAAATAAATAAATAAAAATAATTTAAAGAATGCTGTTAACCAAACAGTTTCTGATAGTCATTGACTGTCACTCATAAAATCTGTTGAATAACCATACTGATCGGTGCAAATGTCCACTGGTTAATTATTTAGATAAAAAAGCAGTAGTAATTTGAACAGCTGTAAAATAACCAAGATAACTAAGCTTAGACTTCACCTGTCGGATCCTGAGAGCATGTAAAAAGCCTTTCAGTTCCTGTCTACAGTCAGCAACAGCCTCCTTGTCCTAGGTCCTAATGCCCGTAAGGTCTTTCATTTATTTAGGGGGCGCTGTTGGCCTACTTGTAACAAAATGAAAGTAAATACACAAATAAAATGTCGTTAACATAACATCGTTATGTTAATAAATAAAGCAATAATTTATGTCATAAAATCACGAGTCTGTTTAGTTTTAAAGTTCAGAAGCTTACATGAACAAAAATCACAAACATGACACTTATAAATTAATTTTTTTTAGATATAGCCTACAGATGCATTCATTACTGTATAACAGCTGCTCGCGTCCATAATATAGGCTACTATAAAACAATGACACAATATAATAAACGCCAATGTTCTTCTTAAACCAACTGTTACTCAAAAAATAAGTCAGCTAAATATAAAAGTATAGTCTGCGACACAAAAGTTTCAATAACTCATGGCTTGTTTTCCCTGTGTGATGACATGGTCGGAAACGCTCTGATCACAAACGCTTGCTACTAAAATACCCATCACGTACAGAGAAAAACAAACAAGTTTAAAAATGAATACTATTTAAATGAATACTACATTAATACTACAAAAATTAATACCTCGATTGATGTGTGTATATAGGCTATATAGCCTAGCCTTGGATAAAAGTGTCTACTAAATGAATACATGTTAATCAAGGCAAATGTGCAAGTTTGCATTACTGTGTTTTAGAGATTTCTTTAATCTCTGAATTGTTGGAGTCTGAAGTCTCTAATTTGGCTAATAATAGTCAGTTAAGTGTCTTCATCATTCACATAAAAATGTATTTAAACTTAATTAAGCTTAAGACTTAAGCTTAAGACTAAATTCCTGTTAATACTGCTGTTTTAGCCTTGCCCTTGTAAATAGTGACTGACAACACAAAAGCATTCATAATCTTCAAAAGATCTAGTACTAACTGCTCTTAGGTGGAGCAACGTATCTTGTAGGTGGGAGTTGTCCTAACTTGAAAGGAATGGAAACGGCGGGACGCTCAAGACAAGTACAGTTCTTGTTTAGTCTACTTGTGGAGCACACCGATACTGTATGTGTACGTTACTTTAGCTTCTGACCATGGCTTTATTACAGATCACGTAAATCGTAACGAATAAAATTGAAGAATATTATGAATAAATTTAATTTCTGACTGGCATGTGATCATCAACGCTGCACTGAACTGCTTCGTTATTTAAACCATGTTCCTGAACTCCAAGCGACAATGTTTTGGCTCATTTTGTGCGTCGTGGTCGTCGATGTTCTTTTGGGTAAGACTTCTATTTAATGAAAAGAAATCGGAAGGCGTTATAATATACAACAGTGTCATTGTGTCATACTTATAGGCTATGCATGCGTTGGAAATCAAGGCTACTCTAACTTTTTTATTCACATTTTTAGTAAAAGATTTAATGTCTGGTTCTGGCACAATGATGAAGGGATGGTAAAACGTTTCTAAGACAGTTTTAATGTGACCTTTATTTAACTAAGGTAATTTTTTTAAACTGTTAGTCTTGGGAGATAAAAGTGAAGTGAACTGAACTGAGCTGAATTGATTAAATGATGTATTTCCTCTCCTGGCTCTAATCAAGTGAAATATTTAGGCAGAGCTGAATTGGAGTTAAGACAGAGATGAACGTGGTTGGTCTAGCTGTCCTGATGTTCTACATGTTCTAAAATATTTTTTTTCTAGCAACATTTAAAGATGAAATATTTCTGAATATTATAGATGTTTTACCAGTGATCAGTTACTTTTAGGGCTCTTTAAAGTGTTTTGTTTTTGTTAGTTTTTTTGCTTTCACATCACAGCTCAGCTCAGGATTGTTTGGTAGTGAAGGGCTTGTGATTGTGCAGATTTTTATGGTACCATTGCTGTTCAGTGTTGGTGTTTATACACATTGGAGGTGGGTTTTTTTTCCTCTACTGGGTTTGGCTTTCTGATATGTGTTCAGTCCCTGCCCTAAAAATTACAGGGTAAAGAAAGAATGTAAAGAAAGACTGCACTTTATAGAATGGCAAATATTGACTGAATTTCTATATATAAGTATACTTATAGTCTATTTTGCTACTATTAGAGTTTTAGTCTTTTATATAGTTTTAGTGTAGAAGGAAGTAAAATATTCTTCTGTGGTTCATTAAACAGGTTTTATCTCTTGATTACAGTCCTACTGTGGCCAGTTATATTTAGGGCTCTTACAAGCTTCAGATTAAGCTTTTTTTTTTTTTTCACGTCACACCTCAGGATATTTGCCAGTGAAGAGCTTGAGACTGTGAACATTTTTGCTGTACCATTGCTGTCTATTGCTGTCCAAAGTTTATGTTTTCATATTTTTACATCAAAATATGAAGGAAAATATGATTTCTTACGATATGACCCCTTAGAAATGTGCCCAGGGGTGTTTCTTCAAGCAACTCTAAATTGTTCTCACTGTCTTTTTCCAGCCTCATTTGAGGTGACTGTCCCTAATAAACATCTGCTGGCAATCCGAGGTCGTCCAGCTGTACTTGGCTGTGAGTTCACACCTGATCCTGACCTCTCCAACTTGGTTGTTACCTGGCAACGACAGGAGGATGCACGGGTTGTCCACAGTTTCTATTATCAACAGGACCAATTGGACCGACAGAGTCTAAAATACCACAATCGGACCTCATTGTATGTTTCAGAGCTTCATAAAGGAAATGCCTCTCTAAGAATTGCAGCAGTTAGACCGAAAGATGCAGGTTGGTACATGTGCATAGTGAGCAATACAAAGGGAACAGGAAGAGCCTTGATGCAAGTGACCTATGGAGGTAAGCATATGATGAACACTGGAGAGAATATGATGTACAATGTTTCCGCTTTCCAGGAGCGCCCAGCTTCATTTTCAGTCACAAAAAATAAATGTACGAAACATACAGCAGCTAGTTCAAGTCAGTACTTTTTGTTGAATCAGAAACACGCAGTGCATTTTGATACAGATAAAGGTAATTGTAAACAAATAGCCATTCATCTTTCTTTTTCATTTTATCTTTAAGTTTATTTTTATTTGAGGATTAAGTGTCCTGACAAATTTGCAAAATATGCCAACTGTGGTTTTGCTGTGGATGTATCATATTTCAGCTTTCTCACGGTCACGAAAAACCTTGAAATATAAAAATACATTTTAAATTTAGATTTCCTGTGAACATAAAGTGTTCTAGTTAGGCTTTACTGTAAAACATACGATCATCTAGACTTTACTTTATTGATAAGATCAATTGATATGCACTTTACATAGATGTAAATTTTTTTATTTAAAGGGGTCATTGGATGCAAAATTCACTTTTGTTGTTGTTTGAACATAAATGTGTGTTGGAAGTGTGTGTACACATCCACCCTATAATGATAAAAATCCACCCAGTGTTTTTTTTTTTAATCCCTATTTTAAAATCCCCTTTCTCAAATCAAGCTGTTCTGAGGTTCCTGTCAGAATTATGTATGAAGACGCAGAGGATTAACGTTACTTTCGTTTTTGAAAGGAATGGGCCGATCCCCGATCTGCCTAAATGCGTTTAAGTTCGCACAAATAATTCATGATCCAGCTGCATCTACAGAAGAAGTGAGTATAAGGGTTTTTTATGAATCTTTGCAAATCGCCTTTCCTAATATGTGCTAGTTAGCAAGTTTCGTGGTTGAAGTTTACAGTCTAATCGTCACCCCACGGAAGAGAGGGGCGGGGTCAGAAGAGCTCATTAGCATTTAAAGCAACACGGACTAGAACGGCCTGCTGAAAACAGAGCTGATTTTGACAGGGTAAAAAGGGTGTTTTTTACACTACCATTGAGAAATTTTAACCAAAGTATGTTATAGACGTTTCATTAAGACCCTAAAGAATCATATCAACTTGTGGAAAATGGGCATCCGATGACCCCTTTAAGATGTACATTTTAACACTGCACAGCTGATTATGTTTGTCTTTCTCAGCTCTTTACTCTGAGCCCAGGTTAAGCATCCATGTAAACTCCTCTGCTTTGAAAGTGCAGTTTGAGACAGAAGGTTTTCCCAAACCTGAGGTGATCTGGCTGGGGGAACATGACCAGAACCTCAGTTATCACCTGGAGATCCACGGCCAGACAGAAGATGGACTTTATTTCATAAAGAGCATCTGTGAGGCCCAGAAGCCAGTGATTAATATCACATTTACACTAAAGAACCACCTCCTGAACCAGAACCTGCAGAGACCAGTGGTTCTCAGCTATGGTAAATACCTTTATTTACTGTGTGCAAATGGTGTGTGTGAGAAACTGTCAGTTAGAGGCATGTCATTCATTACTTTATGCAATTAAGGCATGTATGACTTGTTGCAAGTGATTTGTTGCCATAAGTTTAGTTTTTTTTGCTATATAACAAAGAACTCCTTTGTCTGCTTTAGGTGAGATTTTAGACCTGTCTAACCGCAAATAATTATGGAAAGATAAGACAATGATTCAGTTGATAGATAGACATGATTTTTTTCCTGTTATGAAACACTGATGTGAGTGACAGAGGTGGAAGCACATATTTGTACACTTTATCATAATGTAGAAGAAATCAAAGGCAAATTAAATTCATCTAAGTTTTGAAGTAATTTAAAGAGGCTTGGGTGTTGGTAACACAAGTTTGGGGTGTTATTTCGTGGTGCAGTTTCATCTTTCCTCTTCAGCACTGAAACTGACACTGTTCATTATATTGTTAGTTATTTTGGCTACACCCTTTTCAAAACCAGAAGGTAATTACTAGCAATTTAAAGCTGTTAAACTGAGAATGACTCTGTGTTTTTAGATGGTTTGTCTGAATTAAACTCACTGTTATTTATCCAAGTATGAGATGTTCCTGTATCAGCACTCCTATTAACCAATAATTAATGGTTAATGGTTATGTTTAAGGTTAGCCTCTGTGGGCTATGGGCTTGAACTATCATTTCCATTTGATCTAACCCCTCGTAATCATTTCCATTTGATCTAACCCCTTGTAGGTGGTTTAACTACGACATCCACCATGTGAACCCTGAACATCCTAAGCTCAAACCTTTACAGTTACAGTCTACTATACCCTTAATGTAAATGAAGTTGCTCCTGTCGTAACAGCTATGCTCTGAATGTTAATGAAGTTCTGACACCTAATTGTCTGAGATGTTCTTAGTGTCCCACACCCATTTCCCTTCTACAATTGGTCATCATTTGCTGAGGATGTGGTCATCCCAAATGATCTAGAAACAACATAACTGTTGACTTTCATCATCTCTATAATAATTAAGCCATTTTGGAAAATTAACATGATCAAACATCTATTGTGGAGTGGAATCTGGGTCGGGGCAGACTATAGTTTCTTTCACTGATCTTAACAACTTGTCTCCCGTAGCTTCTTTGGATTGTGAAGTGATTCCAGATGCACACTTAGAATCTCGGAGTAATGCTGCGGTCACACTAGACGTGAGCATGTGACATTTCTACGGACCCTGCAACGTTCATGATATGAAGTTGCATTCTGCAGCATCTTTTTAAAAAACTTGATTTTACCGCACAGCTGCAATCCTGCATATTTAAAGTTTGCATTCCTTTAACATGGTCACATGACTTAATGTGATGTGAATTCACCAAGCTTGACCTCCCACATTTGCATAATGTATGAATGAAAGTCAGTGGAACAAAAAGCGTAGTGTGACCATCACATAATTAGAAGGTCATTCTCTGTATTCAGACAAACAGTACTGTTTTTCACGTGCTATATAGTAGTAAAGTAGGCATATTCAGATGCAGTATTGCAGTCTCGACTCACTACTAATGAGCTGATGTGTCAGGAAATAAATCAGGGATTTTGATTAGGAAGAGAGTATTGTGGTGTGCCTCCAGGAAAAGGGTTGGGAAACACAGATAATTAGCAGTCCTGGGTTTTTCCTAAAACATAAATATATTTCAAGAAATGGCATTGTGTCTTAATTGAAATCATGGCAGCTCTTTTGCAGTTGGGGGAATTTTATTGGCAGATTATGATTGCAGCTTCTGTAGCCTCATTACTATCTGCAAACATTGTCCATCAGTGGAGACACCTTCTTACATTTATACAGCACAAAGGGTGTGCCAGTTTGAGCTGAAAAAAAAAATTCTGACTAGCCCACCAGTATGTCAACAGGATCAGTGATATTAATAGTTAAGCAGTATTCAGTTTATTCAAAATATATTAGCCTGCATAATGATTGTTAGTTTTCCTCTGAGAGATTGTACATATACTATATCCAGTATATAGTATATATCCAGGGTTTGAAAGCTTAAGACTTTTTTGTAATAATAAGTTTGAATGATTTTGTGCAAGCACTGTAACTTTTTATATGCTGTGATTATAATACTGGATTTAGATTTGGATCTGGACTTAACAGTTGATTTGACACTATCAAACAAATACCACATATTGAACCAAATTATCTTTTTCTGTTTCAGATGAGGACACCACAGACCATATGATCATAGTACTTGCTGTCCTCTCAGTGGTTTGCATTCTTCTGGTTATTGTCATCATTTGGTTAGCAGTGCAGAAGCAGAACAAGCAGAGATCTTCCCTGTGATGAACCATGAGAGTTAATGAATGGTGATGTAGCTGTTTCCAAATGCATGCATGCTTCCACTTGTGCTAAACATTACTGGCATTCATGAAATGCAAACAGAGCACATGTTCATTAAACTGTTCTTGTGTAAACTGAAAATAATTGCAAAATGCGCTAATTTTACGCAAGAATGGATTTCTAAATAATTTACACAGATGTCAACAAATGTCAGAGACCGTAAGTGGGAGTCATATGGGTGTGTGCAAAAAGTAATTTCTCAATCTTTTTGCAGCTTATTTATGTATTGACCGTTGTGCAGTTTTAAAACATTTTATACATTTTTTAATAATATTTTATATGGAATTTATTTTAAATATAACAATACCACCATGGATGTTTATTCTCACATTTTTAATTGTCAATGAAATATTTCATATTTGAACTACTGCAGAACATAATCCTGTACTGTACAAGGTAAAATTACTTCTTGTACATACCTTGACATAAGTAATACACTGAACATCTGCATGTTTAAGTTTGTAATGGATCTCTTAAGCCGTAATAGAACTATGGAGACAATCAGGTGAATGAATGAATGAATGATGCATTTATATAGCGCTCTATTGTGTATTGCTGTACACCCAAAGCGCTTTACAATCATGTGGGGGGAGGGGGGGTGTCTCTCCTCAACCACCACTAGTGTGCAGAATCCACCTGGGTGATGCGACGGCAGCCACAGTACAACGGCGCCAGTGCGCTCACCACACTCCAGCTACAGGTGGAGAGGAGAGAGAGCCATAGAGCCAATCAAGTGGATGGGGATTATTAGGAGGCC